GAGTCCGAGCATGACTCGCACATGGGCAAGTTGGATGCTGTTGATGGAGCGTAAGAGGCTGCTGTGGCACGGCCATGTCTGGCAAGCCCATAGGGCGCTCTGTCTGACCAGCACGACATGGATCTGGAGTTTCTGCCGGATGGTGGCTGCAGAGGTGAAGGACTCTCGATGGGTCCAGAAGGCTTTTCGGGCCCTGCTTTGTGCTTCAGCTAGCAACATGGCAGTCCCCCCTTGGAAGGAGAGAGGGCTCCCAAGCACGTGAAAAATATGTTTGGGCCCCTTGGTCACGACATTCTCCCCCGCTACCTTGAAGGTCTCTGGCTTGTCGGAGTTGGAAATGATGTCGGTTTTCCCCGGGTGCAGGAAGAGTCCGCGTCGAGGTAGTCGATGGCCCAGACACGAAAGCAAGTGTTGGAAGTGCTGGCGGTTCGTCGACCAGATGTAGTTGTCGTCCATGTAGCTTCCCCCGTCTTCGGGTGGTGAGGTGTCGTCAGAAGGCTTGCTGCTTTTCGCCTCTCGAATGGCTGCATCAAGGTCCTCTGCCACTACGGAGCCGAAAGCAACTGGACTTTCGGGTGCACCTTGACGGACCCCATTGCTCTGGCGAATGGGAATACTTTCCCCCGCCACTTGTATGCAGATATTTTCTGCATGGAGCAGTGCTACCCATGCACGGGCCTCCCAGGGGAGGCGGGCTTTTTCCCCGACGGCCTGGTGCACGTGGGCGGCAAGGCTTTCTTGGTAGATGGAGTCGAAAGCTTTCCGGATGTCTAATTTGGCGATGTAGAACTCCAGGCCCCAATCGCGAGCAATGCGTGCCAGTCTTCTGAGTATGAGGATCAATTCGATGCCTTGTCTCCCCCGCCTGCACCATTGTAGCCTCGCTGGGGTTTGAATGGCATCCCCCGATCGCTGTAAGACCAATTGTCCAAAAGTCTTGAGTAGGACTGAGCTGAGTGTTATGGGGCGAGTTTCGCTCCAGTCTTTTGGCTGACTCGTCTTTGCCAACAGGATGGTGACTCCGGTTTCGACACTTGCAACGATGCGGCAGGTGTAGAGCATGTCGTTGAACAACTCCAGCAGGCGGTTCCCCCATGTTGGGTGGGGCAGCATGGCCTTCAAAGCTTCATGCGACACCATGTCGGGTCCGCACGACTTCCCGTTTTTCCACTTGACCTTCACAGCGATGAGCTCTTCCATCGTGAAGGGTTTCCAGGGTGTGTGCTTGCACATGATCTCCAGCTGGTGCATGATCCCCCGGACGGTGGCTGTGACAATGATCTGCTTTTGTTTGAAGAAGATCTTTTCGAAGTGGTCCTGCAGCGCCTGCTTCCAGTTGTCGTCGTCAATCAAGTGTAGTTCCCACGTGTGATCACGGCTCTGCTCTGTGAGGGCCTTTTTCATCCCCCAGTCCAATTCGGCCACCTTCTGCATGGCCAGCTGTTGCCACTGTCTGTGTTCTTGCTTGCGTGTTTTCCTGGCCAGTTTCCAAAGGCGTCGTCGTTCTTCGCCAGGTGGAGCTTGGAGTGCTTGTCGTCGGACTTCGCGAAGTGCCGGTGATTCTTCGAAGGGTTGCTTGTGTTTGCCAGGTTTGCTGATCGCCACAGCAACTCGCTGGATCTGTGTCACAGGGTCCCCCCCGACGTGGAGGTCGCGATCAAGGATGGCATCGACCTCGTCTCCCGCTCTGAGCACACGAGATGACCATGCTGCAGCTCGTTCCCCCTCGATGTTCTTGATGCGAATCTGAGTCAAGGGCACCGCCACGGGTTCATGGTCCGACGTGGCAATGTCTCTGTGGGCGAGGATCTCCCCCGGGTCGCAGAGCAACTTCTTGGCAAAGATGTAGTCGAGTCGGCGTGGTTCGAGTGCCGTGTTATACGGGAAGTGGCTCGGTCGCTCCAGGGATTGTTGTGGTAAGTGACATTCTTCCTCCTCGAACCATTCCAGCAGCATCTCCCCGCGTGCAGTGCAAGCCTTCGTCTGTCTTCGTTGTTGTGCCATTTCAAAGGTCTCGTTGGCATCGATCCCGATAAGTGCTCTTCGGTGGGCTTGTAAGTGTGGGTGCAGTTGTTGTAGGATTTGTTCTGTAGTAGAAAGAGTCGCATGGTGTGGGATATGGACTGAGAAAGCGCCTAGCCGAAGCTCCTCTGAAGTCAAAGTACAGGATAGCGAAAAAGGCAAAAGTTTTCCTTGGCTGTGTCGCAAATTGGAGGTATGCAAGATGGCATTCCCCCGCCATTCTCCAGCTTGTTTGCCGAAAAAGGCCTGCAACTCGCCGAGGGAAGAGTGTTTTTTCCCCGGGTCGCATATGATCTCTTGGATGAACACGACCAGGGTGCCACAAAAAGGACGAATTCGTTGTCGCCGAAGTGCAAGGATGACTTCAAGTGCTTTAGCCGCTGAAAGTCCCCCTACATTCCAACTGATGGCATGCGTCTGTCCAGCCTCGGGCCGGACGGTCTGTCGCCCCCGCCTCGTGGTTCCCCCTCATTGGAGAGCCTTACGAAGCTCCCCCCATTTGTTTGCGGCAGTCTCCTCTGAAATTCCGATCTGTCGGGCCAGGGAGCCGAGGTGAACCCAGCCGGATTTCTCGACCGAGGCGCCTTCTGGGGCCGAGGTAACCCCCGAGGCGACTTTAATGCTGTTGTACCACAGGTTTGCTGTGCCATACTCGACGTCGATACGGCGTACATCTCCTCCTTCTTCGATGATGAGCCTTTTGACTTTCCCGGCAAGTTGTGCTCGTTTGCGGCGCTCCGGGCTCTGGCTCATAGCGGCAAAGAAGTATCGCTGTCCCCCCTCGGGTCGTTGGCCGGTCACGACTTTGGCCGCCCGGATTGCGCGAAGTGCTTCTTGAACTCGGGCTCGTTGTTCTTCCTCTGTTTCCCCCTCCAGCCTGGTGAGGGGGACGAGGGCGAATCCGCGTCTCAGTCCTGGGACGAAGGCCTGGCTGACGTCCAAGTTGATGTTGAGCTCGGTGAGGTGTTGTTTGACCAAGCGCAGGGTTTCTTCATGATGTTGGTCGGCATCCCATCCCCCGACCACCAGAGCTGGTCGGGGGTTGCCCTCTTCGGTCTCCGAGGTCCTCGTGCTCGACATAGAGAAATTGGCCTTTGCAAACTTCCCCTCCAAGAGCTCAAGACGATGTAGCACGGATTGCTGTTTTTCATCCACCTTACGAACACTTTGTTCCATAGCACAATGTCGGTCGGTCATAGCTTCCAAGAGTTTTGTGGTGTTGGCAACATGTGTGTCCACAGTCAGCTCCACAGTGGACATGCGATTGGTTATGGTGTCCATGTCTTCCCGAACTTGTGCCACAATCTCCTCACGGTTCTCCTTGAGAGCGGCGAGGAGAGTGTTAAGAGTCAACGGTCTTTCGTTGTCGTCATCTTCAACTGCAGGTCGTTTCCTTCCCCCGGCAGCGGGGAGTGGCTGGTCCCCCTGTGTAGGTGAAGAAGGCTGTCTCGCCGTCCCTGCCATTACTCAGTCAGGTAGATGTTCGCCTTCCCCGCCCAGCGTTGAAGGAGCAGAATTGCAGGTTGAGGTAGTCCCTCGCCCACGTAGGGTCGCCGATCGCGGCAACGGTGTTGTGGGTAATGTCCCCGAGGTCCAACGCAAGGCCCCCGTACAGGACTGTCCTTTACGATGTCTCGGCCGTCAAGGTTGAAGGAGTTCACGCGTAGTGCTGCGAAGTCCCCCGAGAGGTCGATGGCACAACTCTTTCCTCGCCTCTCTCTCTCTCAGGATCGCGGCCGGGTTTCTCCCCTGTCGGTAGAGTTTTACGGGCTCGGGGCTCGAACCACTCGCGGGCTTGAGCCAAAATGGCTATCTCTCTCTCTCTCTCTCTCTCTCTCTCTCTCTCTCTATACAATACAGAACAGGGCCCAAAAGAAACTTCCAAATGATCTACGTGCAATCTAGGCCCTGTTCTAAAAAATCCTCAGAAGATCCCTCATAGCTCCTTGTTTTAGTAACCGTGCTCGACCAGGTCAAGCGAGGTCTGGAGCATCTCCTCATACATCCCTACTTAATTACCTCAAACGAGCTGGCTCGGCCGCGCCGGACTCTTCGTCAAAGAAGAAGCCCGTTCGCCAAATCTTGGAGCCTTGGACTCTCGCACCACGCTCCGATTTCTCTTGCAACCCGCTAGCCCGTAACTGCCGCTCTACTTCAACTACTACCACTGACACTAACAGTACCACTGCCTCTACTACTACCAGTGCTACTACTACTGCTACTGCTACTACTAACACCACCACTACAACTACCACTGGCACTGCCACCGCCACTGCCACCACCACCGCCACTGCCACTGGCACTGCCACTACCACTACACTTCTACTTCTACTACTACCACGACGACTGCCAGGTTTATTTGTGCTGCTGGCATACGACTACTACTACTTTGTTGCGAAAACTACTACTACTACTACTACTGCTACTACTACTACTACTACTACTACTACTACTACTACTACGACGATCGACGACTACTACGACTACGGCTACGATGACTACTACTGCTACTACTACCACCACCACCACCACCACCACTACTACTACTACTCCTGCTACTACTACTACTACTTCTACTACTACTACAGTTCTTAACACTTCTACTTCTACTTCTTCTTCTTCTTCTACTACTACTACTACTACTGCTACTGCTACTGCTGACTGCTGCTGACTGCTACTTTTTTACTGCTCCTCCTGCTGCTACTACGACGCTTGTTACGACGACAACGACAGCAGGCCCAGTCTTCTGGTATGGTACAATGGTACACCTGCTGGAAGAGATGCTCTGACATGAACAGTTGTCACGTAGGCCGTCTTTTGATACGAGTCCCTGCCCAACCGGCAGAAGGTGGCGAACAATGGCTATCAAGGCCGAGCCACGAGTGAGAACCTGCTCCATTATGCCTGAACCAGGAGGGCTGGGTGAACTAGCAGCATGCGCAAGTGGGCAGCTTGCTGCACGACGTTGCATCGGCCTTTCAACACCTTGTCTGCGAATTTGGGCCTCTCGCGACATGCCAGAGGGCACTTTGCACGCAATCTTAACCCAAAGTCGAACCCATGGAAGTGCTGAGATAGTAGATGTTTTTGGGCCACCCACAAGCTGGAAGATGCTAGTCAGAGGCCCTGGCTGACCACTTGATGGGTCGAAGAGCCTCCGCCCTGACACAGCTGCAATGAGATTCCTGATGCCAGTGCTGCTTATCCGATCGCACCTCGGCGGTGCTGTCTCGACACCTCCCCAGGATAGCGCCTTCGCTTGTATTCGCGTGGTGTCGATAGCAACGTTCTGGCAATGCCAGGAGACAACAGGGCTTATCGTATTCATAAATCTCTGTATGCCCAGCCGATGAGCACCTAAGAGTTAAACGGCTGAGCCAGATGCAGGGCGTACCATGGAAATGGGCAGCTGGGACAGACGTAGCCTCACAGGCAGGGAGCACAACGAAAATCCAACTGTGATGCTGCGACCGTCGCCGTCGGGACCCGTGCCGTCGCTGGGGGCCGCGTCAATTTCTGTGTCATCCCGATCCTTATCTCGATCCGCACATCCATCCGCAAGAGAGGGGCCCACCAGGGCAACAGCCTGCACTCCCGATGCATGGCAGCACCGAGACTCTCATCCAGACTAGCACGCTCGAGAAGAAGCACAGTGAGCCTCGCTGGACGGCGTCAGCTTCACCACCCTGAAAATTGCATGACTAACTCAAAATGCGGAGGCTGCATTGACGGATCTGTACCCGATCGAACCAGGTTTTCTTTCGGGTGGCAGTAGCAAGGGACCACCCCTGCCTCCTTTCTGATCTCTCTGTCGGTACTTCATCGTCAACTCCTCGGCAAAACATGACACGGCACAGGTTTCAATTATTGTTGCGCACCAAGGCATGAAGCATCAAAGCTTGGATCCCGGCTCCAATCTTCTTCTGGACGGCACTGCGCTTCTCGCGCCATGTGCCAGCACAGGAACTTCAAACATTCAAAGGTGCCGAGCTTACCGAAACTGCAGTTGTTTGCAAAGGCCTATTTCCGACTTGGGTGACGCATCACTGTCATACCCCTCCATGGGGTGCAGTATGGTGGAGAACTATTGTTCCATCTCCGTAAACCCGAGGCTACGTCGCTGTGCAAGCTGAGCCAGTGTCCAAAAAGTTGATGGGAAGGACGGCGAACCACTCCGGCAGACTGCACTCTCTGTGGCTCTGCCTCCATTCGGCTTGTCCGATAATCGAAATCGTCAGTTCTCTTATTTCCTGTGGCAGTTGACATGATGTGCTCATCTGCCAGCACTGCACTACAAATGCTAAAACTGACGACAGAAAGACTGAGAGACCCGCTTGCTGTAGACTAACAAGTGCGAATTCAATAGTCTATCCTGCAAGACTGCTTGCATATGGTAGCATGCTCCCCTCGTAACTAAAAAAGTATCTACCGGCTCGGAGACGATCTCGTCTCTGCTGTCGAAAGGGCGCCGGATTTCGACATCCCTCCCACGTTCGCCGCGATCGCCGACTACTCGGCACATCGTCTGCGGCATGCCTGGCTTGAAGATAGAACTGCGACTGGGTCATTACTGCTGTGAAACTGCAGTGAAACTGCATTTGCATGTCCAATAGACCACATATCCATCCATGCCAGTGCCACACGAAGTCCTGCAATGATCGAGCACTGGGCTTAGACCTTGATGCCATGGCCACGACCCTGCGAGCTGTGCGAAAAGTTTCATGCCAAGGCTAAGTTCGGTTTAACCGCGTGATGCGTAATGATGCGTAATGGCTGGCGCAGGAAGGAAGCACAAAGAAACTGTCCCCAGCCTACCCGGCTGGTAGAGGTGGTAGCATGTAGTCCTTTGGCGGCTCACTCTTTCAGCAGATTCAGCAGAAAGAACTCCCGGCCAGGTTGTACTACCCACAACCCAGCCGCCTCTGCTTGTCTGAGGCACTGGCGACTGTTTCCCAACCACTTTTGTCTTCTTCACCGTCCTCCCTGCAAGGGCCATACCGTCAACTCTCCACCAGTTGCGCACTCAATAACTCGCTTGAGTCAGACTCTCACACACATACAAACACACACGCGCAACGGAAAGAAACAACAAACAAACCAACCAACAGAGACCGCATGGTCTCGCAAGAGCGACCGAGCGCGGGACTTCTGGGGACACTTCGTCGCCTTTTTCCGCTTGTAAAAATACGGCAGCCTGCCATGCAGGCCAATAGCCGCATTTTTCATGACTGACCTAGACTCTAGACCAAAGCTGCGTCTTATTCTTCGCTAGCGATGCGCAAGGATCTTCAACAATCTTCTGCTCCCAGTCCTGCCTGTTAGAGCCTGTGGGCTGGGGCCGGAGAGTGAATGTGTTAGAGAAAGCGAGGTGAGCAACCAGGACGTCCAACAAGGCTCTCCCCAGTGGCCGCACCCTTCAGCTTGCCTGCGGCGGTGGGCAGCCGTGAAGGGCTCTTCATCCTGAGATTCTGGCCCCGAACGTTTCGCTTCCATAGAGCTGATAAATCTGCTAGACCACGTCGAGCCCCATACATCTGCTGGATCACCCTCCATATCGGCCATTTCGAGGCTCGGAATCGGGAGTATGCGCGTGGGGACAGGGCTAGTTTTGGTTCTGACTCGGAACGGTCCTTGCTGTCTGATGCGTCGGAATCGTCCTCCTCCCCGCTGGACTCACTGGAGTGGATATCTTTCCTGGTGCACCAAACGCCCATGCCTACGTTACCGATCCTGGCCTTGCATGGCCTCACTTTGTAGACACCTTGCTCGCCTCAGCAGAAAAATGCTAACTTCTGCAGTGCTACTGGGCCGTCCGCGGATGCAGGCTCAAAGTGTGCCTCTGCAAACCGAGGTGCGTCTGGCTTCCTTCGGGTTGACTTTCAAGCCCTTCCTCGCTGGAATCGTCGAAGCACTTGACTCAGACTGAAAGATCTTCTGCCAAGTGTCTTGTCCGGTCGCCACACATGCTGCATGTACACCAGCGAGGCCTGCATTCGTGCTTTTGTTCCGCCATCCACGAATGCTAGGACATGCCACTACCCTCTGATCCATAGCTTTTCAGGTCTCTTCTGCAGGCCTGTGGCATTGTATCCAGAAGCACATAGCGCCTCGGTGCTTGTCCACTTGGCCAGACGGCAACTTGTGGACTCTGCCCGAGCGCCACACTCCACACTTTCTGTCGATGCCTCGAAGACGAAGCGGAAACCTAAAGCGCCTGGGAACCATCCAGAATCGCCTGCAAGCAGGTACGAGCACGCCAGACCGATGCGTCTACGCGCAACATCGCACTGAAAGCGCCTAGCAGAAGGCGCTGTTCATCCGGGAACACAACTGGCACCTGCAAAGACGACACTTGTCTGTATGGCCTGAGAAGATGGAATGTGGCATGTTGTAGTGCTCTGTATTCCCGCATCGAAGTCCACCTTCTTATGCTGCCTTTGTTTCAAAACCACGTCGAACGGAAAGAAACGAAGGGAAGCCACTTGGCTCCTCATGTGGTTTAACTGCAGCGGATGTTCCAGCAGAGCTGGCAACAGTCTCCCGAGAGCATGCCAAGAGTTTAGCCGGCAGATGATCCGATGCTCCAGGCTCGCTTCCACAGCTACTTTGGCTCCACACGGAAGGACTCTGACAACGAATTTGGCATACTTTCGGTGTCTGTGGTCGAACATCATATGCGAGTCTTGGATCTGCGAGGGGAGTTGGTGCCGAACATTTTTGCACATCCCGCTAGCACGCTAGCCGCCTCTCGCATTTAAATTACGGCACGGCTTGGTCAGATTACCCCAACGAAAGCCCCGAGCCTCCCAGCGTTTCCTCAGGTGGTCCGTCATGTCCGTAGGCTGACAAAGGCAGCTGCTCGGCGGCGCATCCTCAGCCTCTGCCGGTAAGGCTGCATCGGAGCGCCTGCGACAAGGGGCGCTGAGAACTCGCCAAGGTACATGCACCTGATGGCCTGACTGGAGTTCCACTGCGTGACACAAAGTCAGCGTAGCGGCACGTCACCGTCTCAAGTGCAGCAGGCGCAAGGGGAGGGCTCCAAAACAGCATGCAGGCGAGCCGAGTCCCGAGTCCCGAGTCCCGAGTCCGAGCTGAGGTCGAGTCTGTTGGATCTTGCAAAAGGCTGCGCGGCACCTGATTGGCAGGGAAGGTGTAGAGGTAGAAGTCGCCATGGCAGAACCTGGAGCCCACAGCCCGCGCATGTCTCGAGCAATTTGGCCTAAATGGGGACTCGGCCAGAAGAAAGGATCTGCTGCGGTGAGAATGCCAGGCCCAAAAGGCACCTGGTCACTTCGATGGAGGCACCGCGCCCCTTCTAGGAAAGGCGAAAGGCAACGCACCAATCCCCAAAATGCCTGTTGTCGCTTCAGTGCAAGCTGCTTCCGCCTCCCAGCCGGAATTCTGGCATGGATCTTTGTCTGCATGTTGTGCACATGGGACTTATGACTCGGGAGGCCATTATACCCCTCGCCCACCTGACACAGCAGAACTTGACACATTGGCTCCCAAGAGAACTTGTCGCATGTGGGCGAGCGCTTTCACAAAAATGTCGTGACGGCTTGTGGCAGAGCAGAAGGGTAAAGGCGGAAAGGCAGGCAAATGCATAGCTCTGATCAGGGCCAGCATGTAATTCGAAGTTGAAGTGTAAGTTTCATGCAGCAACCGCAGGATGGGGAGGCAGCTGCCTGATCGCGGTCATCTGCTGCTTCTTGTCGTCATCGAGTGACTTCAATCCTGTCACAGTCCCACCTGCGACACAGCCGTCGAGAAGCAAACCCGGCTCCGCCACATCGCCCTGCCTTGCTTGTTGAAGAATGCTGACCGGGTCCTGGGTTCTCGGAGCTGTCCGTTGTTCTTCTAGAACATCTACTCAAAGCTGATGAAGGGTCGCTCGCAACGGTGGCGGCAGATGCCGACAGCCTGCCGAGGCCCCTGCAACGAGCTCTTGCCTTTGCTTGGCTCCTTGGAGGAAGCAAGGAGCCAACCTCTTTGCCCGTCTCAGGTCCCGGCGTCCCAGCGATTGTCAGCCTTTTCACTGGTAAGTGGTAACAAAGGTCCCGTGCTGCAGACTGCGGTTATAGGGCGGGGCTCACGGTCCTGCCGACGCACTCAACCTTTTCCTAGACCAGGCCCTCCCTTGCCCGTCTCGCATTTGCAACCCCAGCATCCCGCAGAGCACTGGTGGGCCGGCCCAAGGGATCGCTAGGCTCAGACCTGGGAGAGGACTTCGCAGCGAAGCACACGCGAACAGAGATGTACATATTTTTGGCACCCGCACTCGGTAAAGCAGGCGAGGTTATTATGTATTTACCGGCTCGCTTCTATTCATCCGAACCCAAGCCAAAACAAAAAGACCGTGACAATTCTACATACTTTTCAATGGGATTTACTACGGCTCCTGGACTGTTGCTACAGAAACATCAGAAGGCGCCATACCCTTGACAACAAACATGGACCTCCTCTACATAGTAATACTGTCTTTTCCTGTGTGCCTGCGTTTCTTTTATGTTTATTATTGCTCCCCACCACCCCCTCTCACCAAAGATCCGATGCATTTGGTGGTTCATGGGGGCGTGGGATGGAGTGGAGGTGCACAAAACATGGTAATTCTCAACAGGAATTCAACATGTCCAACGCAAAACATCACGAAAAAATGCGATGCTAAAAAGCAAGCCCTCCGAAATTCTGACATCTGTGGCTGAGCAAGTTGGCACTTTGATATGCTCCGAAGCTATTGGCACTTTGATATCGGGCACAGGCAGGCAAGGTCTGCAGACAAATTTCGAATTTGAAGCAACGGAACACAGCAACGCTCAAATTCCATATTTCCCACACTTCATTCACGAAATACCGTCATGCTCCAAAACCTTTGAAAATTCTAGCATCTATGGCTGGGCGATGTGGCACAAAAACCCGTGCCCAAATTTTAGGATTGTTTAACGACCCTGGAGCATTGAAGCATACATACAAACGCGCATTTATGCGTCCATGTCTGTGATCTTTACATGCATTTGTTAGTGCACGCGTGCATGTGTAACATTGTGCAGTCCTCTGCATCTCTCTGTCCTCTGTGCTCGTTTGTTCCGTGCATGCATGCGGGTGTAGAATAATAACTACCTGTACAATTACATGCGCGTACATATGTATGCATGAAGTGTGTATGTACGTATGTCTGTACGTGTATAGCATATGTATATCGCAAGCAGCCCGTCTGCTGCTGGGTGACGCTCCAGGCCCTCCTGCAGCAAGTGTCGACTCTTGGAAACTCGCGTGAGTCCATGCAAATCCCCTCGCTCCTGCCGTTAGCATCATGCGCATTTGCTTGGCTGGTGACGGCTTAGTCGTCGGCCTTTGAGCACGCCATGTCACGCCGACATTGCACTGATCGACTGAGGTTCAAGAGAGATTGACATCCTTATCTGTCGTCGCCAAGCGAATTCGGGTCGCTGGCGAGTCATCTCGAGAGATATCGTGATCGTCAGCCACCTGTTCAAGATCGCACATACACAGGCACCTAGCTTAGAAAGTTGGGTTCCGCAGGACCAAAACCCGATGGTCGATGACTATGCTTAGACGACGTTTGCTACTTGCGGCTGTGTTCTGGGAGACACCCTCCTTCTGAGATTCAGCACAGACATCCACTGCCTGAGGCTGCCTGCTAAAGTGTGTTCACTGCAGACAGCCTCGGACGATGGGTGGCTGTCCTAAGGTGCAGCTGCAGCTGCAAGTCTTCCAAGCTCACACAGCCGATTGGAAATGAAAAAACCCGGAATGAGGCATCATGTCGGGACCCTCTGTCATCATTAACACAAGGGGTCCTCAGTTTGCGCTCTGTACATCTTCCAAATTCAGCGGTCGCCTGAGTCACCTGCCGAATTGAAAGCAACCAAGAGTTTAGAGTCTGGACTGGGAGGTTAACCCGGCCAGATTGTGCTGAATCACGAAGAAGGCCAGAAAAGAAGGTCGCAAAGAAGACAAAGAAACCGAGATGCAAAAGATGATGAGCTGGAAAGCCTGGATCTGTGGCAGCCATTTCATTCTTCGCGGCCTTCTTCATACCCACGTCGCCTTTCTTTACGCTTTGCACTGCATCTTTCACTTCGTGGAGGACGCATGTTGGGGGATCATTGGCAGTGAACAGTTCCTCAAACAGTATCCCCAACGCAAAATCTTGTCGTAGCTTCTTGTCCTTCCGATTCTGGCCAAATACATTTTCACTCCACTCACCCTTGAGTCGCCATTGCAGGTCATACAGCGTTACAAGAATTGAAGCTGTGGATCACGTCATCCGAATTGCTAACATTGACCGTGTCCGGCAACTTCAGGAAGCGGGAAAGGTTCTTCAGCTCATCCAAGTCCGAAGCTTCTTGATACGAACATCTCACCTGATGAGTAGCCAGTGGCAGCTTGCTAGTGGGAATCTGCAAGCCTTCGCGACAAATTGCGCGAGCCCCTTGTCTTCACATGTCTGAAAAGTGTCCTCACAGGTCTTCATCTGTTGGAAACTTCTTGCCTTCTTTTGTGCCACCGACCTCCGAGACAAGAATTTCCACGACACTGAGCAGAAACGGGCTTGCGTCTTCGTGGACACAACCTTGCTCAGAGCTTGCACTTGCGGCTTCATGCCCACATCCACCTTCTTCAAAGATCCTTTCAACTGCACTTCCGCTTTGTTCACCGCCGGATCCGATTTCCCATCTGCTCAGCCACCTTCTCCTGGGCCTTCTCGGCCAACTCCGTCGAAAGCTCTCGTGTAGTCTCCCAAAACTCCACCTTGATCTCGTCCACTGCCTACTGGCCCGTTGACCCACGCCAATCCATGCGTCCAAGAACAGGGGCACGAACATCCGATGGTTCCTCCTTGTCTTCCTCTTTCTCTGCATCACCTTGAACATTGATTTCTTCACTATGCTTCCCATCGTCTGAGTCATCGTGACTTTCATCGTCCACACCATCTTCATCTGAATCTTGGGGCTCGTCGTCCTTTCAAGGAAAGCTAGCTTTGAAGAACTTTCTCAGAAAGGACTTCATTGCGCCTTGCCCGACAGCCGGCAGTTTGCAGAGGGTTGGTTCCTTCGCCCATCGGCGGGAAGTCCTTGACCCACTTCGCTGAGTCAAGCTTGGCGTTTTTGAGAAGGGCTTTTGCGAGATCTGCTTTGGTGAGATTTGCTCTCCTTCCAGATTGGCCTCTAAGAGCGTGGCTTCCTGCAACATGGCGCCTCCCGGGTAAGCTCCTTGGAAGCAACCGCCGGTCGCCTCACCGAGCTTGGCTGCTCGGGGGTCTGTGTTGATTCCGAGGTCTGCCTCGGAGAGCTCGGCTCTTCGGAGCCGTGCAACTTGGAGGTCCGCTACTTCGAGCTTCGCGCAGTGGATCTTGGCAAATTTCAAGCTTGCCCTGCGGAGGTGAGCCCTTGCGAGTTGGGCCCATGAGAGGTCGGCTCCTTGGAGTCGTGCATCACCGAGGCAAGATTTCTGAAGTTGTGCCATGAACAGTTTTGCCGCTTGGAGTTGTGCAGCCTCGAGGTCGACTGCTTGGAGTCTTGCATTTGTCAGGCTGGCTCCTTGAAGTTGTGCCTTGCAGAGTCTCGTTCCAAGCAATTTCACCCCCACAAGATTTGCAAATTGACCCTTTCAGGTCGAAGGCTTGAGCGGTCCGTTTTGGATTTAGGTCGAATGATGCTCCCTGCTCCGAAGCTCAGATGCCCTGTCCTTGAACTTGGGGACGAACCTCGAATCGGGTTCGTACGTTCATCTCCTAGTCATGCATGGCCCTGCCCACATAGAACCGACGGCAATCTTGACGTGTGACGATGCCGTCAGCTATTGAGTCGAAGTCGTATTCCATGGCCTTTGTGAGAGCGTCTGGTTCATGTCACCTGTGGCAGGCACCGTGGAGGTTCCTTTTTTGGCCTTCTTGGAAAAGAAGGCTACGAGCCACGGATGCAACGTTGTTGGTCAGTTCGGTTGAGCTGACCGGCTGCAGACATTTCATGTACTTTGACATTACACTCCGACACGTCCTGTCCATGTCTCAAGATGATACTTTCATCGGTATTTTGATACTTTCATGGTACTGGTGGCTAAGAGTGGCAAATCTATGTCATGCTGCCCGCGCCTTAAACCAGCACTGGTTGTTCAATCTGTCCTGGCCTGGGGGCGCGCACACACAAACACTCTGTGCCCAAAACAAATGCAACTCGGACAAAGCTCTGCTATTCCTTCCGGGCACCTACGCCAAGAAACTTGAAACGCCGCTCTGCAGTGCACTGCACGTTGGCTCTGATACTTCATGCCCTCGCTTGGTCACCTCATCGCGTTACCTGATCGACCGATTGGGCATTGCTGGCATCCGCCAGGCATCCCTAAGTTAGCGAGTGAACCAGTGAATGCATGAGATATGGCATGTGCACAAAGAAACTCGTGTGTCTAAGGTGCCACCCTTCTGGCTCGTCGCCCCTCCGTTTCAACCACTTGAAATTCAGACTGGCGAACAGCACAGCGGAAGCGCACAAACAGGCGAGGCGGGCACGCAAGGACCAAGCAGCACAGTAGCGAGCGAGGCCCACACTAAGAAGCCCAGAAGCAAGGGGCACAGACCACGCATGCACACAATCCCACCACGCCCTTTCTGGGTCTTCCATACTTCAGGAGCCACGTGTCCCTCTTGCATTGGAAGTCCCGGGAGAAACTCTTCGCGCCAAAGCTTGCACTTTCCAATCTGCACCGTGTTCAAAAGCCGTTGAAAAAATCCCCACTCGAAACAACCAACGCATGCCCACTTCTGTCCGGCATGGGCTAGAGGAGGATCATTCTTCACAGACATGCGAGGCCCTGGCCGGGTGCAAGTCCCCAAGTTGCGCGGTCTGCTTCGACTGCCTCCCGGGATCCCGCCGCAACCCGTTTGGCACAAGCGGAAGGGATGGGGAAGTCCTTGGAGTCGTCAATGCTGCACAGAATCTTCTCCGTGCCCGCATAGAAGTATTGGAACACCTTGTGGAGCGGGTAGCAGTGGCCATAACCTCAGGCTCTCTGCTGCCTGCTGCTGCTTCTGCTGCTCTGCTCTGTGCTTTCATTGCATAACTGTGGAGGGCAGGTGGAGCTGCTAGCGGATGAGCGTGAGGGAGCCTCCAACTGCCTACGGCCTCTCTGCTGCAATGAGGGCAAAGGGAAAGGCGTACAGAAAAGATGCTCTGTGCGAGCCCGCACCCAAGTAAACTCAGCTTGGAACACACAGTCGGTACCTAAGCTCTCAGACGGACAACGTGTTTGAACATCAACATTCGTATTCTCTGGGGGCTCTGCCGTCGGCAATACCAGCGGATAGAACGGATTCGCGCCCTCACAGCAACGAAAAGCGCACACACGGAAAGACAGACAGACACACACAGACATATGCTCAGCAAGGGTCACAGGACACGGCGACGAAAAATGAAAAGGACCAGAGTGTGGCAACCGCGCCTGCGTGAATGAAACCTCAAAAACTCAAGAAAGCAGACTCCAATATGTTTGGTGGATGGGGGCCTGTCCACGCTTTGTGCAGGTATGTCAGAGCGATCAGCAAAAAATCAGCCGTGATAGCTTGAACCATTGCAACAAGCTTCCTTGAGCAGAGCGGTTCCTCTTGATACATATCACTTTGTGCACGTATGTACACATACACTTGGCTGACGAGAAGGACCTTGCTTTTCAAGACTTAGTCAGGCATATGTGCAGCACTGTGCAGCGATGTGAAGCACCGGGCCTTCTTGTGATGACCCACGTGCTGACCTGCCGCCAAACCTGCGATGCCACAGCGCCGATAGCAGCGCCTCGGATGCATAACGACGAAGACCAGGTGATTTTTGCGGAGATTTAGGGCTATATTTCACCTATAGGACCTATACCTATCTTATATAAGGACTCCACGGGGCCACAGGGATCTTGTTGCTAATCATAAGACCGAAGATAATTCTGAGCTGCAGACTTTACAAAAGGCAGCAGGTGCGCGCTGTGACACCACTGATTGAAGACCTGCCAGGAACCCGAGGACACCGGTCGAATTCTGATTCGAGCCGGCCTCGAAATGATGCTTCAAGCCAAGTGGTGACTCACAGCCGACCAAAGCACAGCAGACCTGACACAAGCCGAAAAGGTACTGACTGCCTTCATGCCTTCGCAGAGGGCTCTGAGCCAGGCCTGTACGTTGTTCAAGAACCTTTTGGGTGCCGCTTTCGAGCCTCGCAGGTTGGCCAGACATGAGGCAATGCGCTCCTTGAACGTTCTCCACGCAAAGTCATTTCTACCTCTCTCTCTCTCTCTCTCTCTCTCTCGGTGCAGTTGACACCTGATCTCGTGTCTTCAGCTGACTTCTCCGGCTTGTCTTCGTTGCTGATTACGGAGTCCTCTGGGCTCGTTCCACGGAGATATTCCGCGACGTGACACAAATCTCACAGCACTGACTCCTTTTCTGTCCACTACTGCATGGAGCTGTGAGTTTGAGCACTGCCAAGAGCCCATCCCCGGAGAACAAGAGACCTGCATGCCCCGATACAAACGACAGCTTGAGACTCTAGGTTAACGTGGTCAGCACCAAACCGTCTTTCCATCTGCCAAAGCTCAAACTGTAATGAAATTGCCAGGTCCTGAGACTGACTTCGGAGAAAGCTGTGGCTCCTGTCATGACGACGCTAATGCAACTGGAAATGTCGAACTGCCACGGAAGGGGAATCTCAGATGATCTCAGACTCTGCTTTTGTGCCTTTCGACTGCGCACAAGTTGTCCCGCGCCGACTGTACAGCTAGCTTTCCTCGCACATGAGTGTGTCCGTACCATCTACCAGGGCTTGTCTTCGTAGTCATACTGAACAGAGCCCCCACTGATCCAGACATCTTGATGGGATCTGTAGGAGCTGCTGCTCATTGTCCCGGTTGTGCTGGTCGCAATTTTGCGTGGCACGACTCCTACGTACTTCTGAATTCCCGGCACCATGTTCCATCTTACTCTTGCCTTCCGTCGGGTCTTTCCTGGCGATTTAGAAGGGTCTGCTTTTCTGCGCATGCGTTCCATCTCGTCGATTTCCTGCTGAGCTGTCTCCGCATCATAGGGCCGGCTGGCATAGGCATAGGGGCCCTCATCCTCGTCCTCCTCCAGCTCATCCAGGTCGATGTTCTGCAGGTCAGGACCTTCTCCGTAGATTTCTTCTAGTGCTGCCTTGGCCACCGCGGGCGGCATCACGTACTCACCACCTACAGGCTGTGGCCGTGAGTAGGAAAGAAACTCGTTGACCCAGTCGTCGTCCTTCGCGATGCTGTTGACCTCAGCTGTTGGGCCATGGACCGGCCCAAGCACGACTATATCGCTTGACATCCAAAACTGAGATGTCAACCTTGTTCATCTGCTTGTTGTAAAGCCTCTTTGACACGGTTCTTGGGCCGTTCTTTTTCGCATTGGCCACGTTTTTCATGATTTTCTCTTTCTTCCTCAGTTGGAGACCGGACCACTTCAAGTCGCAACTTCTGTCGTGCACTGCATATTCGTTAGCACTCTCTTCCGTCCGGTGGATGTTGCAAAGCACAAAGGCGCATAGAATTAGCTACAGCAGCATCGCTGCATGCCAGAAGGGGTTGGGAGGTGGAGATGACACGCCATGCGCACGGCCTCCACAAGGTGCCTCCAAGAAACGACAGTCTTTTGAGCGCCTGCATCTGCACCAGTCCAGGCCGCCCAGATATTCTCCTCTCCGAGAAGATGCTTCCGGTGACGAAGCCCGCAAGCTCACCTGGGCAGGCCCGGACGGGTGAAGCCTCAAACTCAAATCCCACTTCCTCTCCGCATTGCAGCTGTGTCACCGTGATATGCGAGAACCGCGGCCGCACACGCGGCCAGAAGGGGGCGGCACCGCATCCTCGGCATGGGAGCCTCCAAGCCTCTCGGCAGCGCCACTACGGGGTTGACCGTTGCTGTGATTTGACCCGCTGTCTGCCTGCCACGAAGGAGCTTCGGGGCAGGCGGGGCTCGTCAGAGCCGATAGACGCAGGGTCCACATGCTACAACGCTGCGACACTTGCAACTGGAGACTCGGAGACCGCTCCTGCACAACTGCCCAAAGCATCCACGCACCCTCTCAGCAAGTCACGCCTCATTGCGACCGATAGAGGGACTGTCTGCCTGGTCAACATCGAAGCCAGTTGCTTAGGCTCCTGTTCTTCAAGCCACTCACATATGAGAAGAACGGCTCTGGAAGTCGTGGCAGAAGATTCAGCTCTCAAGCACCCTCATAGCGAGGGAGGCAAGTGCGACCAGGGTGCACGTGCCCGGTCGCGCGCGACGCCTCACAGAGGCAAGACCCTGTGACGAAGGACGGCTGCCAGAAAGTTTCACGTCCCACCTGACGCGGTTGCAGCGTCCCTGTGTCTGGAGCAGCAGCAGGAGCCCTCGGATCGAGGAATGGTGCTCAACGTTACACCCCCCTGTATGCTTGAGGCCCTTACATCGGGAGCGGCAAGCGAAGAATGTCCAGCGATTCTTCGTGTAGTCCGCTCGTCAGCCCGTCGCCCAACATACCTGTAACAGATCTTCGGAAACAAGTTCGTCCCAACGGCAGTCCACAAGAGTCTAAGAGGGGCCTCGCAAGATGCTGGCCAGGAGCATCCCGTGCCGGCAGCGTGAGTGCCTGGCAGGCCCGCGAAACCACTCGTTGCAGAAGGGCTCTGACAGGAAGCGACCCCGGTAGGAACTTGGCATGTCCGTCCGATGAAACTCACGATACCAGGGCCTCAGCTGCACAATCGCAAATTCCAGCGAAACACCCAAAAACCCAACTACTGCCGCCGATCGCAGCTGGAGCACATAAGCCCAACTTCCCACTGCTTGCACGCGGGCTCGGGCAAGTTCTGGTATGCACCCGGATCTATGCCTCAGATTTGCAGTGATGCCCACTGTCATTGAATCGGAATGCGTCTTTGTGCAGTCGAGCTGCTGAAATGAAGCCGCAAAACCTCAAGGGATAATTGAAAAGCCAGCAGTAGCTTGTGCAACCGTCTTGGCACCCGGTATGTCGATTTCGATCGTGCGCAAGAGGTAATAGCTTGTGTCAAAAGACCACCGGCCGAGCTGTGCTGGCCCAAGCACCAAGGCACCAAGGTCCCCACTGACTTCGCCATATTCAACCCACCGGACCTCGGAATCTCGCAAAGGCTGCATTAAACGTCGCATGCTACTGAGCGGACTCGGAGCTGAGATCCGCACATCACCGCGACGAAGGTGTGCAGCAGGTCATACCTAGACTCAGACTGCTGGCACTCTGCCGGTGCTATCCCCACCAGGTTCCAGGCTCTCCGAGAGCAGATAGTGCCTGGCGCACCTCCTGCGCCTCACCTGATCCCGATTGCAAAGGATGTGTGATTGCCGTGAGCCTCAATACGGGCGTGAAGCCTGCGGCCGTCAGGCTTTCTCCCTGTGAGCTTTTGGCCTGCCAGTCCCATCATAGCCCAGACCCAGATATGCCCAGACAAGAAGCACTGGAAAAGCAGCTGCTCCTGCTTATCCTTCTTGCCAACACCCTGATGTGAGGCATGGATGTACTGACCTTTGCGAGGTGCTGCTGACGGAGAGACATGCGTGCTGCTCCCGCGCGCCCATCATGCCCTAACCTTAAGGAACTAAACCTATCTGCTCTGTTTCTGCATGAGCAACCGCTGGGCCGCTTGGCACGGCAGTTGGCTTGATAAGTGAAGTGACATGTGGTCGCAAACCACCCATATGGCAAAAAGATGCGAGTAGCGGCAGTCCAAGCGGCTGCATGCGCAGCGCTGTCCCGGTGCTTTCTCCGCGCGAGGCGACGGCCCACCTCTGAAACAAACACCGGCTTGCTTGGCCGGACACATCTTGAGATCAGGCAAGAGCAACGACAGCAGGAAGCACGACAGAGCTCCAGCAACCCACGCAAGGCTACAGCTCGGAGAGAAGATGACGGTGCTTTGCTTCGGCCTCCAAGAGCTCCCATCTGTGTGTTGAAGGACCAAGATCTCCTGGACTCACTGTCCTGTAGGCAGGTTAACATACCGATGTTCCCTCACCCGAACATCATCGAACATCCTCCGCTACCTGTAAGGGCAACTTTCCGAACGGTTTGCTTATGAGTCGTCTAATTAGGGCCTCTAGTGTTGACATGTTTTCTTTGGCAGGTCGCCCTTCACCTGAAGCTTACATACCTAAGAAGGATGTACGGCTCATGTCCCAAGTCTGCAACCGTAGGCCTGAGGCTTGACCAGAGCGCTTCGATGCTAGATTTAGATAACCCATCCAGGTGAGTCCTCGTCATCCCCGGCTTCGGATGCGACCTGAGCAGGGCCAACAAGACTGGTTTGAAGAGGGCAGTCTGGCTAAGACTACGGCTCATGACTCGCGTGCGGCCGGATGTGAGGCAAAAGCACGCAAAACGAAACCGTGCAATGCCTAGCCGAGCAGCTTCTGACGGAGCACCACTCTCCAGGCCACCGTCCATGTTCGAGACTAGAGACCTCAAAATCAGACTGACAGGGAATGGAATAGCCTGAAACAAACAGCTACCAGAGTCCGGATTTCCCCAGCACATCTGCGGCCATGGCATAGTCTTCTGTGAGCTTGATCCTGGCTCACACACATCAGAGGCTAAGATGACGACCTCAGGCTCTGGGGTCGCTGCGCGTGTTCTCTTCAACATCACCCCCTGGCTGTGCATCGGCTGTCTTGCTACCAGGACTGCGCCGACCACTGCCTTCTCCATCCAAGTGTGATGCCGCCACGCTGTTCTTGCTGTCACCACGATGGACTTGGCGGTGTGTCCGCGGCGAAGCGCTCTTCGCGAGCTTGGCATGAGCAAGGCGGGATCAAGTTGCACACAGATCACAGGCAGCTTGCATCTGCATCTGTAGGCAGTATTGAGCGAGAGCCCAGCTCTGTCAGGTCCATGTAGCGGACACAGGAAAGCCACTTGCCTGCGGGAGCTTTCGAGCTTCCGAACATGCCACGGCTAAGTTCTTCTTTTCAGATTTCTGCAGATTCAGATGCAAGGGCTAAAGAATGCAGCCTCGTCGTGACGAAAGGAGACAAGAACGAGGCTTGCGTGTGGGGCACTGGCACCCCGATCTCACACACCTGCTGCAAAGAAGCATCTGCTACATCAGTGGACCCGAGGTCAAAAGCTGAGAGTTCAAGCTGCGGATCGTGCCTTGAGGCCATTCCAGCAATACCATTTCTCTGCATCACTGACGGCCTTTTCAGTGTCGTTGCCTGCATTGCTGTGCATTGTTGTGCATCCTGATCCTTCCGTTTTGAGTGCTGGCAGGCGACTCGTGCTGGTCGTGCAGCAGCCCAGCGAGCAGGAGTAGGTGTAGAGCCGAGCAGCGGGCCTCTTTGCTGCCACACGTGCCACTAGACTCGGACTCAATCGCGCCCCAAAGCGAATCCTTGCAGCTGAGCTGCTCCAGTTGGCAACCGCATTTGTTGTCTTCTGAATATCTGGCAATGTAGCTCTTGATCAAGGATGGGCTGTTGACCTCGATGCTTTACGCTCTCGCAACTCGGACAAGATCTGCAATATCAGAGTGTATGGCAGAACCAACCGAGTGGCCCATGCTAGTGGTTCAGACTCTCGACCTCGCTGCTGTGGTCGACCGTAGAAAATGATGATTGCCTGCGGTTTTGGTTCCGATGTCACCAGTTAGAGACGGTCTCAAGCTTGAAACACGTCTGCTTCGCAACGCAACGACCCGGCCGGAAAGTCAAGAAACTCGTTCATCTCAAACACCTCGGCAAGGGACGTCATCCATCCGATGCATTAGAAATCCACCCTCAACACCTACGGCAGCGGATTACGCCGACCGGAACTACCCCATTAAGTGCTACGGCAGCGCTGCCTCGTAAGCCCCGACTTCCCCAAAGAAGGTGGACGAGCGAAATGTCGGATGATGCATCCGAGTGTTCTGTTTTCCGGAACCAGGTGAAAGCATTGTGCTCTTCGACTTGCTCTAGCCACCCCCTCGCAGCATCTGCAGGAGAACCGAGCACGCCAAGTGTCTGTGCGGCTGTCTTTCTTGCCACCAGCCTCGAGGTCTGTCCATTGCCGAATACTTAGTTGGCTGCGCTTATGCCCTGGGCCTTGTTCGAGTTGTACTGATCACCAATGTACTGCAACCTTGGCAAAACATGAAGCGAGTACTTGGTCGATCGAACTGCAAACACTCGGAGACCTAGGCCGTCGCCATCTGAGGTACGACGGGGTCGGATCCACACCCGCATAAAGCACCTGCCATGACACCCTGTGCTAGGAGCGATGTTTATAAGAGATGCGCCAGTGGCTGCCAGCCTGCCGCTCTGGAGAGAAAAGGAGCGCCGACAATGCCACGAAGGAGTCAATGCAAATGATGGGAACCTGTTCCTCGGTCAGCGGTTCTATGAAGTTATAGCTTCGTAGATGGCATAGTTAATAGTCCTGTTCGGCATCAAGCCCTAACCTTACACAGAACGCGGGCAGACCTCAGTGCTGCTGAGCGAGTGCAAACGCTAGGCTCAGGCAGCGCTGGCCAAGAACGAGACCTATGCTCAAGAGACGCTGCGGAGTCTCATTACGGAATCACTATAAAGGCAGCTCCGATGACTGGTGTTCAAAAAAGCAAGAACCCTGGAAACACAACTGAACGGAAATCAAGTCCATATTGACAACCTCAGCGACACCAGAACAGCAACTCAAATGCAAGCCACGAAGAACTCAGCGAGAACGCAGACAGTGAATCGATGAGCAGTAGTCGTCGTCGCCGCCGCGGTGGTGGTGGCGGCGGCGGTGGCTATGGTTATGCTTCTGGTTATGATTACGGTTACGGTTCCGGTGTTGTGGTTTTGGTTGTTGTTGTTTCTGTTGTTGTTGTTGCTGCTGCTGCTGCTGCGTCGATACACAATACCGAGCAGACAACCATGAGGACATATCGCTCGCCCCGGTATGCGGGGGAGAATGACTGCCGTCGAGGCACTGGTGGGTCTTCCAGCTTGGCAACGACCCTCCTACTGGCCAAACTTTCTCGGTAGTGCGAACCTCGATTGGCAACTTCAGTGGCTCTAAATTGGTCCCGACCAAATCCCGCGTGAAAGTCAGGTCCCGGCCGATCATGAGCAGCAGCCAGTAAACTGCATTGAAAGGTTTTTCCTTACATTGATGAAAAGAGCATCATAACAAGCAGAAACTGAAAACCGAGGGTCGGCTTGAAAGTTGAAGAAGTGATCAACAAGTCAAGGCTCAATGGCAGTCTTGCAGCGTTGGCACCATCTTTCCAACTCGCCTCCAACAATGACTCTGTAGTCGGTGCTGCCAAAGTCCAAGTAGTGTCGCCTTGGCACCGCAATGTACATCTCCTTCCTGCTCCTACTGACTCCCAGAAGGCGGGATCTCAGCATAACGCCATGCAAGCTTGAAGGTGTGGAAAGATCGAGGATCAAACCTGCAGCGAGCCGGTGTGGAGAATGCTAAACTGGCTCCACATCTGCGAAACATGCATAGCCACCAGGGAACTGGAACATGGGGCGGAACAGCTGCTTTGGCTCGATCAACAGGGTCGTAACTGGCACTGTAGGCCTAACAGGTGCAAGGAGCCAGAAAGGACGAAGAAAGCCGGAGCCTGCGTCCAGAAATGACAGCTGCACGCAGCTGCAGTGCAGCTAATGTGCCAAGTAGCTGGTAAACAAAGGCACAGCCAGGCTTGTGCACGAACGAGACAACGCACGAAGTCCTCAGGCCAGTCAGTGACATCGTTCTCTCAGTCACAGCACAGCCACTTGCAGGTTAAATCCTCGACTTCTTGATCTCATTCTCCCAGCTGTGCTGGTACCACAGAACGATCGGAAAGCTGATATGCAGCCTCGCGAGTGTGCTTGTACGTGTTTGTTACCTTGCTTACTTCTGCCTTTCGAGCGGTGGTGCAACAGCCCGATGCTGAGACCGAAACCTGCCGCCGTACGCACCAGAAGACCTGCCAGAAGTCTTCGCCACAGCTACCCTCCCCCGCCCGAAAGCACTGCCGAGTTCTCACTTCCTCAAACTGGCTTTTCAGGGTGTATATCCACCATTTGAAACGCCACTGGGATGCTGAAGCTGCATCCACGAGTTGGCAGTATCAAAAACTGTTATAGGAGCTTCTGTGCGGGGCGTGCGTCCACGAAACTACCCAACTTCCAAGTACATCTCAACCGACTATGGACAGACAAACGTTCTGGACCCCTGGATGGATTAAAGCATTAAGTGCTGCTGAATGTCCCATACCGGCCGTTCCATGGAAGGACTGGGCAGTTCCGGAAAGCGGTCGCACAAGAACTGGGAACGGCATGAAACACAGCATACGTGATGAGCGAAGTCCCAAGCACAGCTTGACTCTTGAAAGGCTGACCCTTCGTGGGACACGGAGGTGGGTTCTGTAGGATGCTTCTTTTGACATGGGCTGATATGTTCCATCTCCTCGCTTGCCAGCCGCATGAAGCCTGGCCTGGCCCTGCCCCAGCTCCGAAACTGTCATCTTACATGCAAGACAGGGTGCTTGTCGAGGGCAAGACGGAGGAAGACGGATTGCTGGCACATGTGACATGACCTTTCACCACTCCGGCCGGGCCGGACCTTTCCCAAGTGAAGTTCTGGCCGCCGGCCATGATTCGGACTCGTTCCATCGCCTGAGCTGAACTTCAGGGGTAAGCCGAGCATGCAAACATTCAGGTATGCAAGATAGTGCTGTCCCTCCAAATCCCGACCTCTGAGAGCGGCATCGGATTGTTCTCCACATTGACCAGTTCTTGGAAAGAACAAAGGGGTGCCTGGAGAGCCAGCTGGGCCAGTGCAAACAGTCAACTTGGGGTTGGACATGTCTTCATGCTCCCCGTCAGGAACATTCAGGAACCCTGCCTCGAATGGCTGCGATTGCCACTTCCAACGACCGTGACCCCGCTCTCGCCGCTGCGTGGCAAACTCAGGGACCTTGTGTGCCGGCGCGCCGCGGCCGTGCAATGTGATGCTGCCTCATCCTCTACAATCTTCGTCATGCACAGCTGGAGGGTGCCAGGTTATCCCTCCAACCCGTGCTGCTACTGCAAGCGAGACACAGGAGTCTCGGGCTTGTTCGCTTCCGCCTCTTGACCCCCCTGGCAGGGTGCAAAGCTTCAAAGGAAGCGACGGCGGGAGAGCGTAGCTTCCTCAAGTCTGGAAAGACTTTTGCTCCGGGAGGCATTCTTTGCCTCTTATCATGTAGCAAGCTCCCCCGATCCCCGAAAGGATCGTTGTGCAAAGATGAGCCAACATCTTTCTACTTCCAGCTCTTGCTGTGCACGTGGTGTCGAAAGTAAGTTGCTGGATTGGACATGCATTCATCTTCTGCCAGCCTTGTCGAACTGCTTGGTTGGGCTGCGAGATTTATCCTGCCGGAGTCCGCAAGCATACTTCAATACTTCGTTTCGTGGAGTGCATGTCAGCATCTGCTGTCGCGTTGCTCGCCCTCCTGCCGAGGGTCCGAACGCTCCTCCGCTGACTCCTTGTCCTGGCGAGATACGCGCAGCATGCACAGCTGCGGATGCAGCTTCGCGTGGGGATCTATCGCCCGAGTATCACCATTGGACGCTGCAGTCTGCTGCATTGCTCTGCATGGCTGCATTTGTCATGTCTTGGGTCCTTGTCGGTGGGACGTGACCCTGACGTCATCGCCATACGCTCGGCGACCGACAGGCGCCGGTTGCCGCCCGTCGTCGTGTCTGTTGCACCTGCAACCTCGGAGCGAAGAGGGAAGCAGCGGGGAGCAGCGACAGCAAACAGCAAAAAAAAAATGCACGGACGCGAGGCAAGCAACTGCGCTGAGCGCAGACTTGAAGGCAGCTGCGGCTTTCACGAGGGCGGTCTGCGACCTGGCGGCCTTGTTCGGGTTGGATTTTCGGTGCCCGCCTGGCTCCGGCGACCCTCGCCGAGATGAATTTGGGTCGGTCAGATCACTGGGCCGACTTTGCAGGTCGGATTCCGCTGAAGGCGAAGCAGAGCGCCGATCTGTGACGGCACCAAGCATCTGTGCTAGCTTCTGCCCTTCAGTTTGTTCTTCCTCCCGAGCGACTTGCATGAGGGCTTTCACCGCAGAGAATAATGACTTCTTCCCGAGCGCATTCCTCGGTTTATGCTCGCTGGAATTAAGACTGCCCACCCGCCACTACACAAAAGCAGGGAATTTTGGGGAAAGAGCAATTGAACTAAACCGTCTTGTGGGCGCTTCGAGATGAAGCTCCAGTCCGAGCAGCAGGCAACGCACTGCAACTTGCAACACGACGTTCCCTTTGGCAACATACAATGTATACAACGTGCTCAGCCAAGGGAAACCGAGTGGCTTTGGCGATGAGGGGGCCGAAGATTTCCTTGCACAGACAAACCAGAACGGGCTTGTGGCTGGTGTCGGCTAGTGTGTGCACAGACAACGGCCGGCGCAGCCAGACCTAGCTAACAAAACTGAAGTCCAAGATGCGGCGGCTCCTCAACTTTCTCCTCGGAATCCACCTTGGCCTCCACCTTGGCCTCGACCTTGGCCTCCGCCTTGGCCTCCGCCTTGGCCTCCGTCTTTGCAGCGCCGGGCTTGCCGAGCTTTGCTTCGGCCTTTGCAGGTTCCTCTCGCGCCGCTTGCGGCGCTTCCTCTCTGTTCTCTGCTTTGACACGGCTGCCTCGGCTCAATGTCAATGGAGGGGCCCTGAAGTTCTGAAGCAGCGAGAGGGTGGGAGTGGGAGTGGGAGCCAAGCGGCGCCGGACAGATGAACCCACCGTCCGACGTTGAACGGGGCCACGCTTGGGCCGCGCAGGGCCTCCAAGCGTAGGCCGCCGAGGCGTGGGCGCCGACGGCACCTCCAAAGACTGGCGGCCACAAGAGACACCGCACCATAAAAACGAAGAGATGGAAGGCTCGCCTTGACCCTGCAACTAGAAGGAAGCACAGGGACAGAGACGCAGAATGTGACAAGGAAACTCATTGACAAAGAACGTCCCCCCTATGCCTCCGGATTGTGCATCTCATCGAATGGAGATGGCTCTGTCGGCGCGGCCAGGGCTGCCAGCACCTCCTGAGGCGGGTACTGTACTACCGACTGTAGCTGTGCCGTGTACGTGTGCAGGCCCAAGCTTGCTTGAACACACCTTGAACAAACAGGCCTGAACTCTGTTGAGGCAGACATGATCTCTAGGTGCCACATTGCGGAAACACCCTGAATTCTATCCAAGCAGAAGTGGTTCATCACCTACAGTGCCGCACGACGTTTGTCCATCCTGCCTGGCCCATCTGCCTCGCCTGGCTGGCGAAGTCCACTCGCCACGCGTCGCCAGTGGAATGCTGCGAAGGCAACGGGAGCTGTGGCGTGCTTGGCTTCCTAGAGTCCTAGGGCTGGGAAGAAACTCAACGGGATGAAGAACAGACGCCGAAGAGCCGGCACAGAATGCAACAGTACATAGCACAGCCTCGCCTGTGTCTGCCGCGCAGACGTGGTGAAGGAAGCCTTGGCAAACGGAGACACTGGGATTGGGATGGAAGCTTAACCAATCCGGTCACGCAGCAGCGGTTGTCTGCATAGACAACGGATGCTTTCGAAACTCCTGCGCAGCGGCACCATCGATACCAGCGGAATTACAAGGTGAGGAAGTACATTCCGGTTCTGGAAATTGAGCTTAGGTACATAAGTATCTTATAATGCCAAATTCCGTTCCAAACGTGCAAAGGAGAGCATCTCACAAGCAGCCAGTTTGAGCTAAGCTCAGCTGCGCAGGACAAGACTTAGACATGGTCCGGTCCTCCTCTGTGAGCAGCGACGCCGCTGCTCTGATCGGAGTCGAAGGTTGCAGGAAGGACTCCCACCCCTCCATCACAAAAAACAGTAAGGATATGCTATCTCTACATCCGTCTCCATCTCTTGACTTCATGGTGCACCGAACCTCTTTCCATCGGTTCGGTCCAGCAGCGGGACGGTCGGTCAAACTTCCTCGTGAAAGCCACAACTTGGAGACAGCGCCGGGATCTCTCAGCAGTAGTCACCAAACCAGTCTCCTGCTCCATGGAAGGTCTTGGAGAAGGGTCTTTGTCGTCCGCTCCTGGTGCTCCGCGAGCTGTGGCTGGCTTGCTCCGACCTCTCGGACCAGACGGTAGCAAAGACTACTCGGCTTGCACTCCATCTCACTTCAGGCTGGCCTCCACGTTGTTCGTGGGTCCATATCAAGGCTTGCCTGAAACCCGGGCCCATAGTGCGACATCATAACCCGGTTACAATCAGCCTCTCGTACTCAACGCTAGACTCCCCACACCTAGCAGGCAGCCGTCTCGGAACAAACCCGGCCGGAGCCTGCAACAGCTTCCCATGTACAATTTGGCTCGTCTATGACATCTCTGTCTCCGTATCATGCCCAAGCATTCCCTCTCCCAATATGTCCTGGATGCGAAGGCTTCAAAGGGCCGGATCGCCGATTTGCCGTCGTCTGTACACACGTCTGAGCTGCAGGTATTCTGCAGCTCAGCTCTGATTGTGAGGCTCCCTCACCTTCAGCGAGAAGCCATCTACACTACCATGTTTCTTCGCGAAGGACAGAACACAGCTAACTGAAGTGGAAGTGATACCCACGAACATCTGTTTTGAGGAGTCCCTTTGCCTCATTGTGTCCGAGCCAGTGTGCTTTGATGCGTCTTGCTTCAGTTGCTGAACTGCTGGTTAGTTCAAACCAAAGACGTACATTGTGGGCCCAAGCCTCTTATTAACGCATTCATACGCATCCCATTTGTGCGCCCTTGGGCCGGCTGAACGCAAACCACGTGGCATATTCACGGATGAACGGGCAGCGTACAGTACAAGCATGGCAGCCCCGACATATGCGACAAAGCAACACGTGGATTTTGCACTCGCGTTGGCGATGATTTGTATTTCTGGTCCCCAAAGGCTGCGGCCAAGCGTCCGAAATTCGCCCAGGCCGGCATTGAGGCTCGCACAGACTTGGCCTTCGGCCAAGTCTACAAGATTGACCTGCCAGCACCTGAACGCAGTTGCCGCAGCTACCCCTGCCTTGCGGCTAGCTGCCTACCTTGTTTCTGCTACGGTCTGAGCCTCAATGCACTTCTTTTCTGACGGATACCTATCTCTCCTCCGACATCGGGCCGCCCTATTATCTCGGTGACACTGTGACAGACCTCTGGCTGCCTTCAACCCTAGCGGCTAGCGTAGGCCTAGAAGGTGAAAGCTAGAGCTCAAAAAACCGAAGCTGCAGGGCAGGGGGAGTAGTGTACAAAGGCTGCTGCGGCCCGTAGCGAGTCGCGGAGCCCATGGCAGACACGCGGCGAACAGAAAAGCCGACTGTGAGAGCATCTCTGCTAAGTGTTGTTATCAGGCTCGGGAGAGCATGAAGACTCGGAATGCAATGACTGGCACATACTGGAACATTACCGCTTCGGCAGATCACCGGCTCCATGCGGAGCTGGTGGTGTAAAAGCAAATTCCATCCCTGAAGGATCATGCACGCACAGGCTCTTCCTGAAAGCAGGAATGCTGGCAATTCCAACAGGATCTCGGCGTAAAATCGCAAAACAAGGCTCGCACAACTCTGCGCGATGGCGGGGCTCTTCGGCTGAATAGGGGGCAAGTAGTTCCTGCGGAACGAAGCGTCTTCATGATCATGAAGCTTCAGTTCGCTCTGGTTCACAGCCATGCAAGCGCTCCCGTTGCCGGTGTTCTGTGGCGAGTGCCTCGGGCATGAGATCACCCCAATTGCAGCCAGCATCACCTCCGACCCTCTTTGATCTGGCCCGTTCCGGTCACTGAGGTTGCTGCACACCAGCGTTGCTTTCAGGCCTTAAGCTGTAGCTTTCAGCAGAAGGGAGGGTTGACTTAGTCGCACGACTCAATGTCTGGCCATCGATCTGGCAGAGAAAGTGCCATCGTGGATGAAATGGCCCACTGACTTATGGATCCCGGGACCACCTACACTAAGGGGGTGCAGCCGAAGGCTCGCGTGTCTTTCTTCCCACATACGCGGTCTTCTTTCTGGGTGCGATGGCCCTAGCTCGATCAAGTGAAACAGAAAAGCATAGTCACCGTCCCTTTCAGAACGATGGTCTACATCTACATTTCAAGAGTGATTCTTTCGTCGCGGGCCGCCGACTGGGGACCTGCTGATGGCGATACGGAGTTTGCGTCTGTTGTTTGCAATCTCTGGAGGGCAAGACTGCGACGCCTGGTCCGCTCTCGCCTCTTTGAACTGGAACTTTGCGAGCTGATCTTTGAGCCGATCTTTTTGACGGGCTGCTCACGGTGCTCCTTGCATCGCAAAGTACCAACCAGAGTAACAAGTGATGGGTCATGCTCCAGCTCCAACGTGGCTTTCATCGTGCACACTCCGAAAAGGTTAAAGCTCCCGAGCAGCTGCGGCTCCGGAGGATCACTATCGAAAGAGTTCACGGCTGACTGTATTCGCCTGCTTAGCGAAGTGGCGCCCACATCTGGTGACAGGTCGTATATACTCATCTTTTCGAAATCAGCGAAGTGGCCAGTGCACTTCGCAAAGAGATTCTCGAAGTCATCGCTGGCAACAAGAATTTCGAAAGTCACAGCATCGAAAACAATTGAGTAGTCTTTATTTACCGACTGCCCCTGTGCTGCTTCCGAAGCCATTGTGAGTGTGGCGCTGTCTGACCGGAGGGGTGCCACAGTACTTCCGGTGAAATCCGGTGATTCCTTGAAGCCTATCAATCGGCAAGAAGCCCCATCTTCTCCAGTGAAGCTCATTTGGTAAAGCTCCGTCTTGATCGGCGTTAGAGCAGAATCGAGCAGGCGGGTTGTCATCGTTGGGGACACCGTGCTTGTACCCGGAATACTCGCAAGGAAATTCTCCACTCGCTCCCGATCCTCGCTTGTGACCTTGGGATGACATCGGCTCTCGGCACTCCCCCCCCCCCCCCACCAAAAAAAAACGCGACAGCAAATGTAGCAAGAGTTATTTACAAACAATTACACTAAACAAAGACCAGCCGAGAACTCCGAAACTTACACGAAGCAGACTATGCTAACAGATGCTGAGCACCAGGTCTAAAAAGTCCGAGCCCGCAAGTGTAGCAGCAGAGTTCTCGCAGAATAACATTGTGCCGAGTTGTGGAGAATCCTGCAAGAGCCTGAAGGAAGCATCCAGCTCCACAACGCAATCACAAATCCCACTCATCAGCGCTGTGGCTGACTCCATTGAAACACGCTTGTTTTTCAACTGAACGCGCTGCTCCGCTGAAAGAGATATGGAGCCATGAAGTATGCAGGTCAAGGTCATCAAGAAGCACAAAGAGCCGAAGGCTATGTAGACCATGTCTAGATCTCGCCACCACAGAACGCCACTACATAGGCAGTGCCCAACAAGCGCTTTCCAGCCCCACTGAACCCATAAGGCAGAAACCAGCCGTGGGAGAATGGTGAGGTACGCAACTGCTTCCACATCCTCCGCATTTGCAAAGAAGTGCGCCATGGCACAGAGGAGCTGCATGCCGGCATGCAGAGTATCCAAAACAAATGGCGAAACCTCGCAAGGTAGCAACAGCACCGTCAGCATCGTCCAGTAGCCGACCAGAACCGGAATGTCCAGAGCCAGGTACACCGCATCGGTGGCCTCGCTAAGTTCCACTTGTATCCGTATGAGGCGAAAAACACCAGCAGCCATAAAGCATGCGCAAGAATGCCGAAGAATAGCTCTTTGCACATCTCGATAGGCTTTGATGCGCTTCTTCGTGCCAGACACCTTTCCCAACCATCTCTCCGCCTGCACCACAAGCTCCCGGCACCATTCTGCCATGAAGCTTCGGCTGTTGCTCCATCGAGGAGCCAAGACAATCAGGATTTTGAAAACTGTGACAGCCTGCAAGACTGCTGCCACCGCACCCACTACAAGGGCCGTGGTTGACACCGTCGACAGCACCATGTCGAGCCGTCTTCCGAAAGGATCCGAGCCAAGCTGCTGCAACACGGACGAGTGTCGCGGAAATCGGTAATCAAGAACTATGGCAGCTCAGCAGCTCTTCGAAAGCATCGAAAGCAGATGCAACTAAGCATCTGGCTCCTGGTCTTCGACCGCCTCTCCTTTCCTGAAGTTCGGCCTCAAAGGACCGCTCACCCAACAAGCCCTTTTGCTTCACAAGGAAACTAAACCCGATTTCCTGAACCGCTTCGTCCCCAGACATCTGCAAAAGCTACAAGCGAACATGTGGGCAGTGAGTCGCCGTGGCCTGCATTGCCCCAACACTTCACTACGTTGTGGTCCGTGAGGTGTCTGCAGACAGAAGCCTGGTTTCGGTAAGCTTGAAGTCAACTGAGGACGGCAGCAGCATGACTCGAGGTCGGAGTGGCAGAAGCTGCTTTGCTTCAGACTTGTTGCGCAGGTGAGCACGGCTGAACACACTACGTGACATTCCCTGGCCAAAAGTGTGCTTGAGTTCTGCCAGGCAGGAGCGCTCGCACTCACAACTGAGACATGCCGGACGAGTGTCGGATCGCGCGAATTTTTTTGGGGGGGGTGCGGGTTCGCTCCATCTACCCTTGTTCCTCTTTCTGGAATAGACCATCACGGGGTTGTTGCTGCAGCAGATTGAGCGGTTTCCCGGACTAGGCTTTTTGAGAATCTATGCATGATGGCCCCTTGGAGTGACAACTATTGCTTCCGCTCTGCTGCTGTGCTGCGTGACCCGGGTGATCTATGATCGCTTCTGACTTCGCTCCGCTTGCGCTTTTCGCCGCCGCTTGCGTTCCTCTCAGTTCGCACCGCCTTCAAATGTAGGGACATGTGCTGTGGCGACGTGTCGCGAGGAACGCGGATTTGGTTTTCTTGTCGTTCTCAGCTGTAGGCGACTGCCCTTGTGCGCCCTGTACTTTGGCTAATTCCGGCACTTGTACACTTTCCTCACAAGACTTGTAGTTTGTGACTGCCTAGGATTTGGCTTTCGTGCTTGGGATGGGCGTCAGGTGCTCCTTCGGGCTATGCATGTGGAGGGGCATGAGGGTCACCTCCAGCGGTACTGTCGCCTTGGTGACTGGTCGGCGCAGGGAGGCTTTTCAACAGGCGGCATTGATTAGCGACCCCGTTGCTACGAAGAGATTTTGTCACGAGCTGGAAGGCCATACTGGGTAGGTCTGCGCAACGGAAGCCCAATCTCTGACCGTCTCCGGCTCTGCACATCGCTGGGCTGTCTGCGCACTTGCCGACTGTTGAAGCTTCTGCTGGGGAGGTTCGGCAGCCGCTTGTGGAGTCACCCTTGCAGGCGGCAGTCGTAGAGGCAAGTGCCGGTGCGAAGCAAGAAGCACTGCCCTTCACCTGCGGCAGCTGTTGTCGATGTCGAGCGCGGCAACCTCTCGGGCAGCCCCAAACCCAAATGACCTGAGTCCCTCCTATCAACTGCTAGCTTACAGGCCTTGCAGCGCAGCTCTTCTACAAGGCCTTTGTGGCTGTCCTGCAGCTCCTCTGCAAGAGCTTGCTGGAAGCCAGAACGAGGTTCAAGAGTCCACCAGGCCTGCACCATAGCGGTCAAGTCATTCACCCGCTCTTGCGTTTCCTGCAGAGCCTGAGTCTTCGCAGTGCACCGACGCATGAATCCGGCGTTCATATATCCATTCACTACCCACGACAATAGCTCTGGCAGCCTGTTGTGTGGAAGCCTAAGTCCTAAGTGTCTGGCTTTGTCTCCCATGACCGTTTCCAGCCGGCCCTCTTCCTTGGAGAGGGCCATCCTTGCCTGAGCTCGCACTCCATGTCAGAGGTCAGTTCATGAACGAAAACCTTGCTTCAAGTGCCGAGCCTGCGTAAGGGTTGCGGCCACGCCGCGAATGTTTTCCTCGTTTAGCAGGAATCGTGGTTGCCAGGCGATGCCCGAGTATGAGACATGTTGAACTGCGAGTGCCGCGCCTCCAGGATTTTCTTGAACCTTTGCATGCACCAGAGCAGCTCTGCACATTTGCCACACATGTCCAGGTGTCGAACTCGCCAAGCTCACGGGTCTTCACGGCCAGCCTCAAAGAGAGCACAGGGCATAGGCTCCGAAAGAGCTTAGCCGTCCTTCTGTGTCCTTTTCTGGGCCCCGCGCTGGCGGGCAGCTCTGTGGGTGCACTGGTGCGATTCCTATAGTCAACGGAGCCGAGACAATCTGCGGTGTGTTCGTTGGCTCCCCGCGGGTCCTGCCGAATGCGTGCTAGCATGACGTCCGCCCGGTCGGGCAACTCTCTCCTCATCACAAACAGAACTGACTCGAAAATCTCTGAAGCCGAGACTGCAAGCTGAGCTCCACACGCTTTCCTAATCACCGCAATCGAGCGCTGCTTTAAAGACTTGGCCTCTTCTTCGGAGAGGAGCTTAATCACCTCGCTGCAACCAACCTGCCTGCATGCTAAATGCCATTAACATTATGCAAGCATCGCAGCAAGCACCTGGTGGGGCTGAGTGTTCTTCTTGTCCACCTTGCAGATTTAATGGACTTAATTACCTCTAACACTGGAGTCACCAATCCTGCCTCCGGCAAGGATACACTGGCTCCAGTCGCCATTCGCATCTGTGCCAATTCGCTCTCCACCTGGGGCATTGTTCGACAGACTAGCGCACTAGCCGAAAAACTGCGGTGATTGACGGCTCGAGCGGCAGGCTCGCCTGAAGCCTGCGAGCTCCCGTGTCGCGCGAAAGCTCGGCTCGCATCGCCTGATTGACAGCACGACGGAAAGCATGCACTGCCACATGGTGGCATCAAGGCAGCAGACACCACAAACAGGATAGGGAATGCCAAAGGCAGAGCAGAACAGTAGGCAAACGAAGGCATTCCGATCCCGTGCAAGGCGTCCTGCAAGTCTGTTAGAAATTGCTGGGCTTCCGCTTCCAGCGAAAGGAGATCCTGCAGAATTGGCGGCCATTCGACATTCACAGCTCACAGCTTTTCGACTTCACCCTGAGCCCCGAGCCTGGCGTGAGCGCTCCAGCACGCCTCGCTCCCGATCGAGCGCCTGGACCCAAAGTACTTCAACAGCTACCGCTGTCCGTCATCCGATCCTTGTCTCCCTCCCCCTTCAACACACCTCCTCCACAGCATCGCGGAAGTTCTCGCGGGGCCTTCGCGGGAGACGAAAGCGGCAACGAGATAGATCCATCGAAAGCAAAATCCTGAAGAGTTTGAGGCGTCAGCGGCCGGCGCTCTCGGAGCTGTAGTCGCTTCTCGCAAACTTTAAGATCCGCGAACCTCCACGCGAAACACGGCGTGGCAAACACTTCCCCGACGAAATCTTTCCGTTGCATGCTCGACTGATCTTGATTGTACTTCAATGTCTGCAGCGCTAGCCTCGCATAGCGCATGTGGACCAACCGCGTTTGGCAACCTTCCACCTGCGACTCTTATTGCGGAGTCATTCATATAGGACGAGCACTTTCCACAACAAGCCTGGGTGATGGCTTCTTCGATGTCTTTTATGCTACGTTGCGCGTCATTGATGACCTCCGGTTGAAGAGATGCATCGAGTACGCATCCGGCAGCTAGACCGAGTGCCGCACCTCGGTGTGCTCCCGAACACGCCCTCGCACTCGGCGCTTGAGCTGCTCCTTCCTGGCCACATCACCACTCTTCGCGGCCTGTATGCCAATCCCTCTTAGCCAGCAGGAAGCCCAAGAACATGATGCTGCTGGGCTCCTAGGTCCTGGGATTGCAACGCAGGGACTTTCTGTAGGACGGCAAGTCGAGGGGTCAGATGCAACGCTGACCGAAGCACCGAACGTCTGAAGATCCCGTGGTAAGCAACCATGCTGCAAGGTGGGCAACTTCGGGCTCTCTCACTCGGACAGTCCGGGCAGGGTGATTGCCGGCATTCCTTGGCCCCTCGCGCATCAGAGTTTTAACCTGCTACTGGCGCGGTTCCAAAGAAGAAACATGCCAGCCATACTCGCGCTTTTGACCTTGGCTGGTTAGTGATCGTAAATGGGGCGTGAACGAAGCTGGGCCGGTGATGCTGTGCTGTGTTCTAATTGATTTGGCACGTCACGCGTCGGGCATGCATGCGCTGCATCCGGATATCTAACCTCGTGGCCAGACACACCAGGCATGAGAACGAGTTTCGAATCCAGGCACTAAACGTGCTCCGCTTCCGCTACATTCTCGGCGGGAACCCAACTCACGAGTCCGCTAGTGCAGAAAGGGTGTCCTTCGCATGAATCTTTCGACGGTTTCGCCGTCCAAATCCTCTGCAAAGTAGTCTGCACCGGCATTCATAAGCAGCTTTATGACATCGAGGTGCCCGAACATGGCTGCATAGTGGAGAGGCCGTCGCAACAGAAGATCCGTCACGTTCCACGACGCATTCCTGTCGAGCAGCTGTTGCACCAAGTGCGTGTGGCCCCTTGCCGAGGCAAGGTGTAACGGGGTTTGTTGGGAGCGATCTTTGGCGTCTAGATCAACATCGGCAGTATCTGCGAGCAGTTCTGTCAGGATGTTGCCATGCCCGTTTCCTGCTGCATAGTGGGCCAATGTCCGGCCGAAGCGATCCGGTGGTACCTGCGACTGGTTCAGCAGACGCAGCTCCTTGAAGAGTCGAAGGTCACCTGCCGAGTCCAGGATAAATAAACAAACATGTACTGATTTGGGCACATCTCTCACGAAAAGCCGGTCTCAGCAACGGCAAATGCTCGAAGCCCGCTTATACAAAAAAAATGCTATTCCAAATGCTACACAATAAATACAGCCCAAGATTAAGTGATAAGCATTGTCGACAACGTCAACTATTCAGGCTCTGCTTTCCCAACCCATCGTTCGAGCTTGCCGAAATGAAGGGCTAGTTCCCTTTGCCTGCCAGAACTGCCCAATGTAGGGGGCCACGTCCATCATGATCTGTTGTTAGACAGAGCTCTGTCTGCAGCAACTTCAAGGCTGCCTTCGGAGGAGACTTTCGTGTCTGAATAGCTGTCACCAGCGGGGTTCGTCCCCATATATCTTGCGCAAACATCTGAGTAGACAGGGCACTCGGCTCACTTGCACCCAACCAGTTCGCTACATCCGAGTAACGGCCGCTCGCAGAGACAACGTGCAAAGCAGTCATGCCATATGCCTCATCTGCCTCCATCATGGCATCTGCCTCGTCCGGGTCCCTCTCTGCCCGACTGTACATGTGTGTCATGTGCGGTTCTGAGGTCTCCTCGGAGTTTTCCTCGGAAGCTTCCAAAAGCGCCGCCGCTGCAGCGTGGCCCGTCAGCTTGGCCCAGGCGGCGGCCGTGCGTTGCTGCCGGTCGGCATAGTCTGCCGAGGCACCAGCATCCAGGAGAAGTCGGAGGAGCCGAAGGTGGCCACGCCTTGCAGCCCACGCCAAGGGCTGGCATCCAAACTCGTACTCCTGAGCATCAACGGCAGCTTGTGCCCGGAGCAGCTCTGAAGCTATTTCCTCTTCACCATGCAGGGCAGCCCAATGGAGTGGGGTCCAGCCGAGCTCGTCGGGGGCAGTCACAAGTGTCACAGACGATCCGTTGGCTTCCGCCAGCATCGCCCGAAGCTTGTCTAGCTGTCCGAACTCTGCCGCCTCATGAAGCGGCGTTCGGCCCCACTCTGCAGTTGTTGACATATCAACCGTTTGATCCTGGAAGTCATCCGCACCTTCTGTCGTGGAGGCCACAGAAGAGCACGAGCAGGTCTTGTGCAGCCCGAGAGTGACGGCCCAAAGCAACATGCGCCCAAGGATGATGATTCTGGACATGCTGCAGACTCGGGGTGGCATCATGGCGGGACAGATGCCTTTCTATCAGCTACAAGCAGGAACACGAATTAGGAAAGGGACTGCTCCTGCTTCGATAGGTGGTTCACATACCAGCTCGATGGAAAGTGGATGACCTCTTTCTTTGCAAAGCTATGCCAAGCTCATTGTGTTATGATGCTGCCATTCCTTGTGGGTGACTCTGCATCTTCGTGTGAGGCGATTGCGGCGTGGATCTGACAGTCTACGACGAGTCTTGAAAGAGAACACAGGCCATCTGGCCGCCTCCAGGCGGTCTGGTCGGGCCCCCGGGGCCCCGGGGCCCGTGCCACTTTCTTTCATCTCCTTGTTCATGGCATCTGCAGCCTCGTTGACCTGGCAGGGTGCAGGGTGCGACACGATCTTCAGTCGCTTGCCATCGCATGCCATGACAGCCGCAGAAGCCATCCTGACTTCGGTTTCTCACGCCTTCGACGAAGTGCAGATGCCAGCAGAACTTTGCAGGCATCCACGTTCATAAAGCACCTACAGGATCCTACACTAAGCAAACAGGCTTCAGGAAAACGCCGTGCTGGGCACAAGGCCGCTAGAGGCCATGCTTGTGTGCTTGCACTCCACCGGTCTGCCAGCCCCCATTTGGATAACTGAGCAATGTTTGCAAGAAATACGTGCAATACTCGAACTTGATGATTCATGTGTTTACAAATTTTTTGCTGGCAGACCCTGCGTCATGCAAGAACAACAGCAGCACGGAATTCAAAACGCTCAACTGTATCTACAGGCCTGCGCAAAAGCAGCAAAAGGAACAAATGCAGAAGCAGAGTGTACAATTTACAAGTGACGGTCTACCTGCGTTGAATCGTTCTTGCTGATACACGGAGTATTGACCGCATTCTCGGCCTTGCCTCGCAGTCTCACTCACATGCTGCTCTGGAAATCCTGCCACAAATGAATAGAACACTGCACCGAAGACCACTTAACCTCTATTCAGACAGGTACAAAGAGACCGGCAGGGAGAGAGAAAGAGAGAGAGAGAGAGAGAGAGAACAAAGACAGGAGAGAAAGAATGCGAGAGTAGGATGACAAACCACAGACTGGTGGTGGGAGACCAAACACACACGGAGAGGAAGAGGAGCACATATATATATATATATATATATCTCTCTCTCTCTCTCTCTCTTCGGCTTCGGCTTCGGCTGCGAGGGAAAGGTCCGCGTTCACGGACCCGGGCCAAGGCCCCCCTCTCCCCACTGCGTTGGTGGAAGAAAGGGCTTTGGGGTCGTTGGCAGGCGATTGCTTTCAGCAGTCGGTTTGAGTGGTAGAGTGCGTCTGTCAGTCAACCCGAACCCTTTACACCAACGCGCATCCCGGCCTCATCTCCGCGCCCACTTAGGCAAGTCCTTAGACCCTCGACAGACGCAATCCCCCCACAGTAACCAACGGAATGTAGTCGTCCCCCTGTAGCAAAACCAACTAAGGACCGAGCCGAAATAAGAACATAACACACGGTTGGGTGGACGATCTACAGGTTAGCACTGGTGACTGCTGTTGAGCGACCGGATCCCCCGCCCTGGTTGGTAACAACAAGGAAGAACACAAACCGTGCAGGTAACGAAGACGGCGGGTTCACCTACTAGGGAGGCTTTGTAATGTCGGGTCCCCCGCCCAATCAGTAGAAAGCAACAGCGAAAAACAAGCAAACGAGCAGGTAACGAAGACGGCGGGTTCCCCGCCATGTTGTAAAGAAAAGCCGGTTGAATTATTTCTTCTAGTATGGACACGGTCGGCGAAAGCATTGAATTACTGTGGCGGTCGGTAATATAAGTCGCAGGATGGCGACTGGTGCAATTGAATTGGGCTTTCGGTCGCTACTTCGAGCTGTTGTAGAAAAGGGAAAACCATTCGGTGGCTACTTCGAGCTACCCTCAAGAAGGTATGCATCCCCCCGGCAAGGGTTCAAAGGAGAATCTCGGGAACTAGGGAAGGCACATGGCAGCAGCAACAGAAAACAGGATGCCCCCCCTAGTTCCCGTCCCCCGCACATTGTACTTTTTACAGGTCGCGCTCAGGGCTCTCAAGTTGGTTGCGCATGCGTTCCTGCACATGCTGTACCTGCCACCTCATGCTCGGCTGAAGTCGTACTCGTTGTGGGCTGTTGCTCGGGCTGCGCGGCTTTCTCCCCCTTGGGCTGCGGCTTGGAGTGCGTGGGCGCTCCTCCCCCAGCCTTCTTCTCCGCGGGCTTCTGCTTGGAGTGCGTGGTCTCTCTTTTCCCAAGCTGCGTCCCCCTCCGTGTGCGTCGTCTTCAGCGGCGGCGGCTGTTCCAGCGTCTTCCCCTCTTTGCTCGCGTCGGTCTTTGGCTTGCGCTGTCTCAAGGCTTCCTCTGTCTTCGGCGGTCCTGTCTTCGTCTGGTTCTCCCCCGCCTTGGCTGTGAGGCTCTGTGCCGGTGGTCGCTGAGTCCGTGCTCCCCCAGTCAACTTCATCTTCGTCACACCTTTCTCTCAAGTCGGCTGTGGCTTCCTCCCCGCGGCTTGTTGGTGGTGGCTTCGAGGTAGTCGCCCCCGCTGCTTTGCGCCGCTTCCGGAGCTTCTTCCGGATTTGGCGTGCCTTTTTGAGCAGTGGACCGGCTTTTTGCGGGAAGCGGATAATATGTGCTCGCGTCTCGTTGGCGAGCTTGGGCATGTATTTGTCCACGATCCTGGTTAGCTTGTCCACCGTTCTGGCTATTTTGCACCTTTCCTCAAAGCGTTCACGGTATTTGGCATACTCCCCCGCCTCGAGGTTGTTCAAGGGCATGCCTGTCGCGAGGTCCATCCACTTGTCGCCCTCCTTGTAGATCTCTCTCTTCCCCCACTTGTCGAGTGGTCCGGGCAGGAACTGTAGGCCTATTCCCCTCCTTGTCGTGAACCTGGTCATGTGCGTAAAGGGAACCTGTGGAGTTCTCACGTCCCCCGCCTCCTGCGGCGGCGGGTGACTGCCTTGGGTTACCGGTCGGCACCCCGTCCCTTTCTCGCTGCACCCATGGAAGCGGCATGCTGGATCCGACCTCTCGTGCACCTTGCGGAATCCTTGCTGACAAATGCCTGCACCTTGTCGGCATATGCGGCATTCCTTCTTCCCTTTCGGCTTTTTTCCCCCACTTGGGTCCATCTGTACCACTCCACCACGGTGGTTATTGTTCTCAGTCTCCCCGCTAGTCACGGACTTGCAAGTGTGGTACTCCCCCTCCCAGCGCAGTCGTTCGGTAAGCGAAGCTCGGCCACGAATGTCAGGGCGCTGTTGGAGAAGAAACCCGCGTCCCCCTCGGTTCACAAGTCGAGCAGGAAGGCCTTGCTGTCCCCCGGTCGCCGGACTGCAAATAGTGTTCGATCGTGCCGTTCAGCTTTATAGCTCACTCCCTAGCACGAAGGCTACACGGGCCACTTAAGGACAATGGCGGCGGATGATTGGTCTCAAGCACCGCTGGGACAACGACAGGGCTCTCTCGGAGGAACAGTCCGAGCCAACCCCACCAGCTGCCCCCCGATGCAAGGAGGTGGAACACACCCCCAAGCAAAGGTGCAGTACTTGAGCCAAAATATATATATATATATATATATATATATATCTCTCTCTCTCTCTCTCTCTCCCGGGCATGAGGGCGGGTCAACGCCCTCGGGCCAATGGCCCCCCCGCTGTTTTAACGGGTGTTTTGAGGGGTGAAGAATGAGTCACAAACACAGTTTCGGCTATAGCCATAAATAATACGATAACGTTAACTGTGTTCGATTTGACTCTCTTTTTGACACGTGCACAGTCATTCCTTTGTATTCCCCCTATGGTCAAGATAGAGGGTCTTCAACATTGCCAAAGTATATCACATTTGGTACCCAAGATCGTACAAGTATAGGGGGCGTAAAGGATGACTCTGGGAGGATGATTGTTTCTGCAGTTCCCCCGTGATGCCGAAGTATTTTTAAGGACAAAGTAGATTACAGGATATCTTCGTTGCGGCATCACTGTTCAGGATTGTATAGTTCAAGGAAAATTCAGGGTTGGGAGTCCACCGGATTTCGGAGTGCAAAGCAATGACACACCCATGCCTTTGTGGCCTAGAGGCTAAGCATGTGTAAAGCAAGGACGGACCGATGGACCATTCCCCCGTTGAAATGTCTATGCTGCTCGCATCAGTGCAAGCATCACAAACTGACTGAGGCCCAGGCCATCACAGTATGGGGCTTTCCCCCAGTTCTAGCAGGACGTTATCAGAAGGAAGATTTCACAACCAGAAACAGAAAGTAGATAGTATAAGTCATCCCCCCGTAGAGGTGTCCTGCTGGGTCGTTATGGCTGAATTTTGGCTGGAATTCCCCCGTAGTAGCTCGGCTACTATAACCCAGGAGTGTCAAAAGGTAGGTAGGGATAATTCCAGCCCTTTCGTCGTGCTGTGGTGCAATCTTCGTGTTCCAAGTGCTGAATCGCAAGTTATCAAACAAATCTCAACCTAGGACTAAAGGACCTCCGTATTGACGTGATTCAGCACTTGTCCGGGCAGCATGAGTAGACTTCGCAACAACAGCTTATAGTATGATCGTATGTGGCATCGAAGCAGCAGCAATTGGCACGGGGTATTTGGGAGGCTTTTCGCACATGCATACCAAGCTCGTTTCGTCCCCCTTGTTGGCTCAGAAGGGCCTGAAGCTACAACACAAGACTTTAAAACAGTAGGAGAAACGAGGTGGTAGTGCATTCCCCGGATCAGAGGCTCTCAGATGGGGCCATGACGGTCATAGTAGGCTCCATGCAGGCGGCGGCGCCGATGTTCAGCGGGACTTTCTTCACTCCCACTTGGTACGTCTTCTGTTGGACTCCGTTCTTCTCGGGTGGTTCCCCCGGGAGCATTTCCAAGGCCATGGTGCCGGTCATGGAGCCACCAGTCCACATGAGCAGAGGAGGAGGGCATCCCCATTTCGCCCAAATCTTGCTCATGTCCCCCGGGTGAATCGTGCGCTCCAGCAGCTCCCGGGAGTGCAAGGTGTCCAGGATGTAGTTCATGTCCCCCGGCAGGATCGTGCACTTCAGGGGCTCCCGGAAGTACTGGTAGTCCAGGATGTAGGGCTTCTTCCACCATTTCAAGGGTTTGCAAGAGTGCGCGGTGGATAGTATTGAGTTCTCCACCCGGCCACTCCTGTAGCTGTCCGCGCAAGGATTGCAGTTCGAGGACGATCCCCCGAGCTAAACGATGTCGGCGGTCACGAGCAAGATGGGATGTGACAATCCCCCTGTGCTCCGCAATGACATCAGCTGGGTGGCCAACAGGGTCGCCCCGCTCAACTGCTGCTAGGTAGTGGCTGACATCTGCGAGCAACAGCCAATGTTCACGTTGTTGAGGTTCCATTTGGATCCCCTGAAGGGCTGTGCCGAGTTGGCCGAGGACATTCCCCGTATTGAACATGCCCCTGTCGTAGTTCAAGCCAGCTTCGTCTCTCTCTCTCTCTCTCTCTTTCTTTCTTTCTGCAGGGCTTAAGGGTCGCGCGAGCGCCCCCAGGCCTTCGGCCCGCCCAGCCACACCCTGTGTTTATGGAGTGGCTGGCAGTGGGGTCTTTCCAGATTAGGCAACGAAAAACAAAGTAGGCCCCGAGGTGTAAACAGGAAAACCCCCCGAACTCTAAACACGACACAACCCCCGCCTCATCACCGCGCCCCTACGGCAATATCCTTAGTTGTGATCTGGTTCGGGGGGGCCTGAAAAGTGCCGGTCGAATTGCAGCTCCCCCAGCTTGAAGCGGGAGGGAGCATTGAATTGTGGCAAAGAGGCGGATCAGACTTCGTCACAAAAGTGACGGCATTGCAGCGAATTGTAAAGGGACGGAATGACTTTGCCATGTTGGCAAAAGTGGCTGAAAGATTGTGGTATGTAACGCGTATGGTACAAAGCACGTGCATTCCCCCGGCAGGGTTGGTTTTGCAAAAGATCCCCCACTAAGTGGGGCGGGGCTCACAGCAGGGCATAGGGAAAGAGGAGGACCGGAACCAAAGCACAACACCCCGCAAAACCAACGGCTCTCCTCTCTATTCTGGCACTGTGGAAAAGGGTCAAGGAAAGAAAGAGGAGCTCAACAAGGCACTTCACCCCTCTCTCCCCCTCGCACTGAAACTTGAAAAACTTTTTCCGCGCTCACTTTGCTCACTGCGGCTCCTCGGCGTTATGCCCTCCAACTGCTTCGTGGCTCGTTCTCGCTTGGCTGTCCCCCGAAGCGCTGCATGTGTTCGTGAACACGTTGGACAGCTCTCCAGCGGCTGTTGGGCGTCAGCTGGACTCTCTCGCCGGGTTCCGCGGGGCGGGCGGCTAGCATCCCCCGACTTTGGCCCGTGTCTGAAGGCCTTCCTTGTGGCCCCCACGGCCATTCTGGGTCTCTCCCTTCGTTGGCTGAGGCTTCTGGCTGGCTTTCCCCCTCCACTTGGTCGTCACGAGGTGTTCTGGGGTTGCTCCCCCCCAGTCTGGCGGGCTCTCTGTGTCTCCACGGTCATCGTCTTGACTTATCTGGGCCCTCGTGGTTGGCATCGCTGCTGTAGTGGTGGCTGGCCTTTCTTCCCCCAGCTGACTTGCTGGCCTCTTTCGCACGCTCTTCGAGCATTCCCCCTGCGTCGTCCTCTGGTGTGTCGTGGTCGCCCTGCTTGTTGGTGTGGCGTCTGCTTCCCCCTTCCGTCTTGCCCTTATGCGGCGCCTGATCTTTCTCGCACGCTTCAGCAGGTCAGGTACACGGTCTGGGTGCTTCATCGCATACACCCGCGTCTCTTGGGAGACCTCCGGAAGGTAGCGGTCGGCGATCGTGACGAGCCGATCGGCCTTCCCCCCAAGTTTCCGCCTTTGGTTCAGGCGCTCTTGGTATCGTCTGTAGTCGGCTGCTGCTTGTTCTGTCAGTGCCTCCCCCGTCTTGAGGTTCGTGAGGGTGCCGTCCATGTTCTCGGTGACTTCGCTGTGGATCCAGTCGTCCAGGTCCCCCGCCGGGAAGTTGAGGTGTAGTCCTTTTCTGGTTCTGAAAAGCATAGTCGCCGGTGCGGCTTCCCCTCCATTTGTCCTCTCAGCTGGCCTTGTTGTGGGAGTGCTTGGCAAGGGCACGGTCTGGGGGATGGCGTGGCGCGTCCCCCGTTCCGTGACCCCGTGCAGTCGGCATTGTGGGTCTCGTCTTTCATGGGTCTTTCGGTGCCCTGCGGTGCACACGCCATGCGCAAAACGGCACAGGCGGCAAATGGGAGTTTCCACATCTCCCTCCTCTCCTCCCCCCTGGCGGCTCATGGCTCCGGCGGTCGTAGGCACACGTCACTATCTCCCCGTCCTTGCCACAGTCACGACCGTGACGGTGTTGTACTCCCCCGCCCAGTCAGGAGGTACTTTGTGATCACCGCGGCCTCGGGAGCGGTGGCGTCGGCTAAGAAGACCTCTTTCCCCCTCTGCTTTAAGGTGGTGGGGAAGAAGCTCTTGCAGTTGTCAGGCCCCCCACAAGGAAGTAGAGGTTCGAACTTGCCGTACACGGATATAGCTGCAACGCGGCTATCCCTGACAGGGCCACTTGATGAGAAATGCGGCGGCCGGAAGACTCAAGCACCGCTGGAGAAAAGTGGTCTGGCTCCCCCAGGGAGACACCCCGAGTCAACCAGCCACCTCCCTCCCCGATGCACGGGGGCGTCACAGGCCACCCGAGCAAAGGTGCAGTACTTGAGCCAAAAATCTTTCTCTCTCTCTCTCTCTCTCTCTCTCTCTCTCTCTCTCTCACGGACTCAGTTGCCTGTCAGCCGCGACGCGGAACATAGCGATTTCGCCATGCACGCTTTTCCAAAATGAAATGCAATGAGAAAATCGGAATTACCAAACTACAAGGATGTCACATGCAGTGCCCAATCATCCCGGATGCCCTCCAAGCTGAGTTGAGGTAGACGTTGTAAGTTGTGTACGTGTATATCCGATTGGATAAGTGAACCATGTAGTGCGACGACAGTAGCTGGATGTAGCTGGACATAGCAGTTGCACCACGAATAAGTCCCCGTGTAGCATGAGAAGACGTGGAATAAACTGTTCCAGGACCGAATGCACCGTCCCATATATATATATATATATATATATATATATATATATACATATGTATACATATGTATATGTATATGTATATGTATATATATATATATATATATATACATATCTATATATACACACACGCACACACACACACAAACACACAAACACACACACACACATGCACGCACGGACGGATACAACTACAACCGCACACTCAAAAAGAGCTTGAAGCGAACCACAGATGGATGATTGCAGATGTTTCGGATGAAAAATGGAACTGGGAGTTTTGGTACACAAGTGTCACGAACACCAAGAATGGCACACTGTTCACAAATTAGTGAATGATCCGTAGGGGGTTGGGTCCTGCCCCGGTATCCCTACACCTGCCGGGAGTATGCCCCCCTCCGTCCCCCTGCGATATGGGTTTGAACCCCTCTTGCCATGACCTAGGCAAGCACACACACACACACACACAGGCACGGACAGACACAGATGGACACAGACGGACAAAGAAGGAACATGAAGGGACGGAGGGACGGCCTTGAGAGAGAGAGGGAGCGAGATACGCGTAGACAAAGCAGAGGCCGACACGGACGGAGAGAGATGAGAGCGAGGGGATAGTGATCCCTCACCCACCCGTTCAATCACTCACGCTGCGTCACCGTCGTTCTTAAGAGGTGATGTACGGACTCTTTCTTTCCGTCGACGGGTGCAAGTGGCAGGCGCCTTGTACAAAAGCACATCCTCTCGGTCTATCATCCGTCGACTTCTTAAGAGTTGGTTCTCTCCTAAAGGCAACCAGAACCACAATGCGGTCTCCCACGCTTGTGACACGGGGTGTGTCGTTGGAAGCCTCCCTCTCCGAGTAGAGTCATTCCCCGCAGTCAGATCGATGCTCGATAACACACAGGACACAAGCAGCATGCTGAGAGCCACCGCCTGGAGTATGCGCAAATATCGTTGGGTCGTCTCCTGCGTGGCTTTCCAATGACAGAAGTGCTGACAGCCCTGCCGCGCGTGCACAAACCAAAATCCTCGACGCTTTGACGCTCTCTGCGAAGATCCTCCACTTCGGTCTTCCTGGCCGAGCATGCAAGCTTGACGCACTAGGGCCTGCAGTCTTACGCTCAGGGGACTGGTTGCGCATGTCCGGAAAGCACCCACCATCTTGTACAAGTGGCTCAAGCCCCGAAACTCATCGAATCCAGCGAGGAGGTTCGAGTCGGATCTGCGACGATCATCGGTTGTGCACAGCGCAAGGCTCAGGAGATGCCAGGCTGGCATCAAGTTACTTCATAGTGCGACATGAATGATGCATCTTCATGAACAGCAACTTAGCAACTTAGAGTCAATGGCGACTATTCCGCCGCTCCCTTCCTGCTCGCCCTCGGTTTGCTAGAGGCTCTCTCTGCTCGTGCCAAACCATCGGTTGCTCGTCATCTGCGGCTTCCAAGCGAAGAGAAGCTTAAGCCATCATACGCTTCTCATCCACTTCGCAGTTGCCCTCCTCTACCCCACGCAAGTCACGGCGCCAGAGTCTTACATTCCACTTAGTTAATTTACTCCGAACGATGATTCAAGTCGAACCGAAGTGCCGGGTTGGAGCACGCAACGCGGCTTCCGAAACTGTCGTTCGACTTGGCAACATGAGTAAGGCTAGAAAGATTAATCTCCTGCACTGTGCAGCAGCTCGCAGGGCGGCCAGCCGCAGCTGCAGGGCGTCTGCATCTGCCAGGGCCGCGATACTTGGTGGAATTGGTCTGCTTGACAGTTTGCTCCCCTCCTAATGAACTCTCAGTTGTTCTACGAAGCCCTGCACAAGAGCGGCGAAAGAATCAGCAGTTGCGGCGGCCGCCTTCGTGACTGTCTGCATGGTCAGAACGATGCGGAACGTCCTTTCTTCGTGCACTTGCAGGCAGCCGCAACGACTTTCATACGAATGGCCAACTAGTTCCCCCGACAGCAACGGAAGCTACACCCACACGGCATAAGGTTGTACAGCTTTGGATGGTGCAAGTAGCCGCTTCGCGGCCCGGCCTGGTTCTCCTGGGCCTGAAAGCTTTCGGCAGATCCTGAAGCGTCACGCGTCGGAATTGTGGAGTGCCCTTGACCCATTCCAACATGCTGCATGACTATGCCGCCGCCCAAAGTTCTGCTTGGAGGTCTTAATCCAAGCAGCTGAAAGACGCCCATGCAGAAGCACGTGTGCCGCGCAACGATGTCCTGTGCAGAAGGATGCTGCGTCAGGGTGCGACGCCCCGCCCCACGAACTCGTTGCCAAGGAAACGCGGTCAGTTCAGCATGATTCAGCCAGCCTTGGTTCTCTTGTCCAAGAGCCTTCTAGCCTGTCGAGCAAGTGAGCAGAGCTGACAGACTCGCGATGACCAGTAACCATGCTCAATCGATTTGGCATCGGTATGTTTCTATCTTCTTAGAGGCCATGCGGACGGCTCGGTTCTCTGTACAACGAGAGCCTCCTCGAGTGGCTCATGCTCTTAGACAAAGAAGGCACTTCGTTCGGAGTGCAGCGTGTGAATTCGTTACGGGGCAGGGTTCTGTGGTCTACAAGGAGAGGCTGTCACTGAGCTCAGCTTTCGTGATATGCAGGCCGTGGCTTTGCCGGTAGCGCCAGTGAGCCAAGCTGTTCTTGCCGGAAAGGAGCTGCTGCACTGTCCGCGTCCATGCGAACTGTACACTCTTCAAGACGGTGGACAAGGCTTCGACCGAGTAGGTCTCCTGGCCGATGGACTGCTTTGTAGAAGAAGAGACATCCAGGCATATGTCGCTGTGATACACTCGCAAGTGAAGGTGGATAAAGCTCTCCACGAGATCGGACTTGTAGGGGCTCGTCGCCACCAGCACCATAGGAGCATGCGTCAGGGTAGCGTTGTGGCTCCGCGCATGGATCATGTAGTTCCTGAGCCTGGATAAGAGATTGGGCTCACGTTGCGCGCTCTTGCTTTGTAGGAAGACGGTTGTCTTGCCCACCTTGATGTAGCGGTCAAAGATCAATACGTGCACCAGGCCGAGGCCCGGCGAATCCTTTTCGTTCGCCCAGGCCACGAGGCTTTGTGCTGCCTCGTCCAGCTTGTTCCTGAGGTTGAAGAAACGGTTGCTTCCTAGAAGCTCACAGACGTGGTTGTTCAAGGAGTCTCCGACCGTGCTTCGCGTATCTGGGACTCCTTGAACAACCACGTCTGTGAGCTTCTAGGAAGCAACCGTTTCTTCAACCTCAGGAACAAGCTGGACGAGGCAGCACAAAGCCTCGTGGCCTGGGCGAACGAAAAGGATTCGCCGGGCCTCGGCCTGGTGCACGTATTGATCTTTGACCGCTACATCAAGGTGGGCAAGACAACCGGTGTCCAAGGACACCGGATTCGTGTCCTCCGTCATGTCGAGCCCTGGCGCGTCTCCCAGTTCCTACAGCCCTAAACCCTCGACTGTGCCAAAACGGCTGCATGGCGTGGTCTGCTCTGCCGAGATGCCGACTCTTTGGCGCAGCTGCCCTGCACCCAGCACTCACGTTTCGCAAGCATGTGCACATCCACCGGACTAGGAGTCCACTGGAATGGTTGACAAAGCCTCTCTGGGCCTCTGGATGATTCTGGATGTACCAGGATGGCGGTACTGGTACACTACGTCACTACGTCGCTATGCGGCAATCTGACACATACTACCCACGGCTTGACATCAAACCCGGCAAGGGCCAGGGACAGCGCAAACCGATTTTCACAAGCGTTGTCTTGATCCCTTTTGGTGACAATCTTAAGTCTGACATCCCTGCAAGAGCCCGAACAAGATCAGGGCGAGGGCGCAACACTGCAAGTTTCTTCTGCAAGTTCGGGTGAGCCTGCCATCTTCAAACCTAGACAGCAGCAGCCAACGCTCTGCATGTGACTTTGTGAAAGTGAACTGAAAGCTTAGGCTTGAGCGTCGGCTCGGACTGCCTCCGCTGAGCATTCTGCTCGTCACAGGCCTCGCAAGCCGCAAGCTTCTGCGATCCTCTGAAGGACATGGCATAGCCTCGGCCTGCTGCGCTCGCAGGCGTGACCATGTCATGGGCGCGGGCTTCGATCCGGGCCCGCCGGGCCTCAAAATCACAGCGGCTACCAGCAGGGCTGCAAGCAAACTCGGAGTCTCTAAGTGCCCGGCTCCGAGTGCCGCGAAGACTCCGCAGGAGGCGGAGGCACCCCAGCAGAGGGGCCAGCCGGGCCAGCAGCTTCCGGCGGGGGGGAAGACTCCGCAGGCGCGCCCCAGTGGGGCGCCTCCGTGCGCGCCTCTCGGTACCGCTGCCAGCTGAAGCGCTGCCTCGACGCGGCGCGGCGTCAAGGAAAAATCTCCCAAGAATGCAGAACGCGGCTCCGGAGCCTGGGCCGCTCTGCAAGCTCCGACTGCGACGGCTGCGCCTCACTACCTTGAAAAGAACAGCTGCATGACATGATACGATGACTTTTGGCGCAAAAAAACACGGATGGGCTCACGGCCTCTTGATTCAGCGGTGGTCGCTGCAGCCTTCGCTTTCGCCTTTGCCCTGGCAGCAGTTTCTGCAGCTTCCCTCCGCGCTGCATCGGCCCGCAGAGCAGCGTTGGCACGATCTTCGGCGTCGCGGGCTGCTTCCGGGCTTCTCCAGGCGGGCGGGTGAGCGGAGCCCGTTGTTTGCGGCGGTCTGAAGCTGGCTGAGACGCGCTCCTCAGCACGCAACAAGCAGTGTGGAAGACGGGATGGCATGGTCTTTGCAACTATAACAACTGGAAGCGTGCATGGACCAGGCACCATTAGCAGCAAAGGCAGCATTGGCAAGTACTGCAGACTAGACACAGTCGGAGCTTCTTGGCCGGAATCATTGGCAGCATCGTCCTCCTCTCCTGCCATGGGCCGTGAGTTCGCCGGCCTACCTGCAAGCACAATTGTCAACTCACGGGCTCCTGGCGCACGCCAATCTGCAGGACGGAAGTAGCTACTGGTCTGGATGTTCTCCAGCTCCTCCAAGTCGGAGATGTCGATTCCCTCGGTCCAGTTGCTTAGAGGGCCCGGAGAACTCATGCTCTCGCGCAGCCGTTGTACCACATCACCACGCGAGGCCAACCTCCTGATGCCAATCACACGCAAAAAAAGGAACTCAGCGTCGTGGATGCCGCCATACAGCGAGCGAAGATTCAGGTTGGTCGCCTTCGTCTCCTTCAACTCGTCCTCCACCTCCCACCAAGATTCCTTGGTGTACAACCGCTTGGGTCTGTGCCGCCTGGATGAATCAGGAGCCGGCAGAGATGAGGTCGCAGAGGAGCTCCTCGTGCGTTGCTGATCTTGCCGGCTCATGTTGCTCCGTCCCTGAGCATGCGTAGCTTCCCTTCGCAGCGGGTTCTGCGTAGTCAGATCAGGAAGCTCCAGAGGTGGAAGCAAGAGCAGGCGCTCTTGGGAGAACGCACGACGCACGTCCGCATGCCACGTAACCGAACTTGCCCTGCAGGCCTTCGCCAGGCTGCTGTAGACTTTGCTTGCCAAAGTGGTCATTGACTCGAGCAAGCCGCGGGCAGTTGTCGGTGTGTGCTGGAGGCTTTCCGATGGAGTAGAGCTGGAAAGCGCGTCCTCCACGTGCTTCACCAGATTTCGCAAAGCTGTCAGCAAAGCTCCGGGGGCAAAGCCAGGATGCCTCTCCGGCATCCCCAACACATCCAGGAAGTAACGCCGAACGCTCGGCCCGTACCTGAGATAGTGTGCTGAAAGGGACGGCACCTGCGTCAACCATTGGATCTCCCCATCCTCTTCCCACGTGCACTCCTCAAGATGTCTGAACTGCAGAGGCACAAACACCAGTTCCGAGAGAGCTTCCCGGAGATTCGGAAACCCACCGTCTGCGCTTGATCCGAATTCGGAGGCCACTTCCTTGTAGATGTCCGCATATACCTGCATTGCGGCAAGCATCAGCCCTGGACTGTTACAGTTAGAACAAACTGTCGCCTCGATGTTCTGACATCGACCTTCGTCCCTCAGGAGGCGCAAACTTCGGAGCAATCCTGCGGCAGAAAGCTCCACCTCAGGAATCAGGATTGACACACCTGGAAGCTAGTCCCGCTTTTCCGAACCACCTCGCACCTTAAGGGCACCCACCCAATCCGGTCAGATTTTGCGAGCCCGCGGCCTGGACACCGAGACGCTGCAAGCAGCTGCGAACTAGTTCATCCTCTGCAGGCTGTGTCGTGGAGCCCGGGGATCCAGGAAGACGGACATAGTGCAGGTACTGCCCACCCAGCCTGCCGTAGACCTCTGACGGCCGTTCGCGTTGCTGCATGTGAGCTTGCCTAAAGTTGTAGCTTGACTGCATGCTGCGTGGACCCGTCTTCCCCTCAAGCCCGGTCTACCTGCAAAACAAAACCCGCACAGGGCTGATTTAGCGGAAGCACAGCAAGCCGACCAACAACAACGCTGCCACATTTCACCGAGTGTCGTCATGCAAGAACAAATCTTGCAAGTGGATCTTGCGAAGCATCTTGCGGTCCTTCAGCGAACCTTACGATATTGAGGATCGCAAGTTTTGCTGTATCTTCACGACACCCCACACCTCTGATAATTGAGAACATGATGAAACTATTACCCAACCTGCCCTGGAGTTTGTTGACTTCACCAAGCTGCCTTGACCCTTGGGGGCATCCACTTGTACAGCAATGGGCAAGGTCCGAAGCCAATATAACTCAGCATCGTCAGCCCCGCGGCAGCGGCGAGAAACGTAGGCCTGCGCTCGCAGCCCACGCTTCAGCAGGCCAGACCACCACTCCTGTGCACAGAGGCTCGCACCAAGCCTTGATGCCAGGTCGTTTGTGTGCTCAGCTTCCGCCGGCTGAAAATTTTGCACGCCAATAGCTTGAAGAAAAGCCTCCCATCCCAGGGCGTATTCGCCCCATGTCTTTTGGCTGAAAATATCTTGAACGACGGCTGCATCTGATGGCCGCGACTCATCAGCGCAGGTAAAGCCGAGGTACGAACTACTCTGCAGCTTCTGCGGGCGCCGCAAACTCAAACGAGCATTGCTGGTCATCTGGAGGCCTGGCAACCATAGCCAGGTGCCCAACTCTCTCCTCGGTACAACTCACCTAGGAAGAAGACCTGGAAGAGAACGAAAACACAAACACAGCGCGTGGAAGCAAACGGTTCTCCCATTTGTGGCGCTGGATTTCAAGTCAACACACGACAAGGTCTGCTACGTGGTTTGGTGATTGATCGCTGTTGAAGATTGGAAGGCACGAGCAAGCACCGGTTTGCACGAACGAGCTAGCCGCTGTTGATAAGAGCATGCTTCCGAAAACGTCGGAGTTTCAGTTAGTTCGGTAATGAAAAGGATACCTCGGAGAGACGCGGACAATGATGTCGCATCCTTTATATAATGGGTGAGATTCAGTTACAGGCCCGTCTTCAGTCTTCGGTCTGGCGAAATTTGCAATGGCATGTCAAGCCCAACGGTGTTGCGCCTTTGCTCAACGTCATCTGCGCGGGAAGCAAGTGAGAGCTTGCGGGCAAAGTTCCGTAACCCAAACCAGGAAAGGCGGTAACGGAAAACCGCGGCCGGAAGTCGTGCGTCGTAGCGGGAACCAGGACAACCTGTAACGGGAAGAATCACCATCTCGACAACCAACAAGCAAGAGGAGAAGCAAGAGGAGACCTTGAAGCCAAACCCTCCAGCAATCCAAGCAGGAACAAGCTCAAAGCCTGAGCTTGACACCACGAGCCTGAGAAAGATTAAGATTCCTGAATACGAGAAATGCTGCAGTAGGCTCCGAAACCCGCAGCCCTCAAGCCCGAAACCCTAAACAAATCTCCACGAAAACATGAACAGATGTTCAAGGATCTTGCTTTGGCGAGGTTGCTGAAAGTAGAATCCTGGTTTCCGTTACGCTGCCGGCCTGCTTTCCGTCACCAGTGCCCTGGTTTCCAGTTGGCTGTGCAGGCTGACTTCTGTTACCCACTCAATTCAGACAAGTCTCCACCAAGCCTGTCTCGCTTCCGGATCTGCCTTCGGTAAAGGTAGCGGCAAGTCTAGACCAAGTCGACTTCCCTCTGGAAGCTCATCACTCAGGAACGTTTCCTTCAAGCACGCAAGGCTTGCCAAAAGAGCTCTCATTGGAGTCGGCTCTGCTGTCACACCGAGCCCATTGAAGGAGGTCAGGTGCCAGGATATGCAGAGAGCTGCCAGTTCGGGGCGGCTGGGCATACCCATCGTCAACGATTCCATCAGGTGCGGCGTTGCATTCTGCAGTGCCAGGCGTACCCGCGGCTCCACAAACTTGAGCAATCCCACCTCGGACAAAAAACCCTGCCAATCTGCCCGAATCTTCACACACGGGCGAGAAAAGATTGGACCATCGCTGATGCGTAAAGGCGTACGTGAGCGGAAAGCCGGCAGCAGGTCAACGTCCCAGACTTGAGCGAGCAGCTGACTGGGCTGCTCTGCCTCTCTCAACTCCATGTCCAGCCACGCGCAAAAAGGCACAAAGAATTCGCAAGGATCCTCCGTCTGGGCAGCGCTGCCCACAAGACCACTAGGCCAGGAGGATCCACGATATTTCAGCACCTTGATCCAATGCTCCAATGAAAAAACTTCAAGAACCCCTGCGCCAACACCAACTGTCGCCACAGAGCTGGAGGATGCAAAGCTTCGGCCACAGCTGAGCTGTAGGAGCTTGGCTGGAATCAGCTGAGATGCTGCCAGGCGCAGAGGGTGCTGCGGCCGCTCAAAACATTCCTCTGGTTTCGCGACTGCCCCTTGCTCTGTCCGGATGCAAGCAACCCGCAGCAGCGAATCCACCAGCTTGGTTCGAACGTGTTGCCAAATTGGTCTGGGAGCAGCCTCGCAGCCCACAAACCTCATTGCCTGACAACTGACATCACGCCCAGGTCCGGCCAGAAAATCTCCAAACGCTTGTGGGATGGCATTACAAAGGATCTGGTTGACCGTGCTGCCTCTGCGAAGAGCGATGCTAAAGTAAAAGCTGGAAATTGGAGACAAAAACCACACTGTCAAACCGTTAAACCGTTGAAAACTGCCAGCATTGCAAAATCAAGAACCTCAAAAGTCGCGACGAGACACCTTCGTGCAGATCCGCCCTGCTGGCGACCAAGTCGAACGGGGCATCGACGGCAAAGTGAAAGCCCACACAGCGAACTGGAAGGCCAACATGAACAGACATTCGAGGTGGGCAATCAGCTGTGGGGAAAACTAACCTCAACACGACTGGGCCACCAGGGTCCACACCTTCGACCTCGAAGGGATGAACCATGTACTGGAACGCCTTGGCTTCCTTTTCCTCCTGGCTCTCTGCTGGCTCATGAGACCCCAGCACGCTTATGGACTGCACCAGCCCGGCTCTCTCAAGTCGTTCCAGGCAAACGGTGTTCCCGCCGGGATACTCCAACTGGATGTGGCGAAGCTGCTTCAAGAACAAAAGTGTGACATGATGTTGGCACAATCGATCGAATGCCTCTGCGATGCTGTCTGACCCGGTTCGGAGCGGCAGGTAGATGACCGTCCCCCCACTCTTGTGTGCATCTTGCACTGGCTTGGGCAGCTTCTCCAGCTCGGAATCCTTTAGCCAAGTTGGAGTCACATAGGCGAGCTTTCCCAAAGGTCCGCCAACATCAAACTTGAACGTGAAGTCGCCGGAGAGAACGTGCGGACACTGCGAGACTGCGAAAGTGCTCTTCCAGCCAATGCCCTTCTTGCCAATGCACCCCGACCTCATCCAGGGCCAAGTACACACGGCAAGAGCCATACACGACGTGGTCCGAACAAGGAGTTCCCCCTACTTTCCATCAGTCTCCAAGCTGCGACTTGGAGCTCGCATTGATGTCGCACATGGCCATCACATCGCTTTCCCGCAGACCAAGCTCGTTGTTTTTGGTCATGAAATACCTCAGACTCTCAGCCGCGAGAACTGAAAAAGTATCCGGCCACATGTTTCTGTGATTTTGGTGGCGATTGCAGAAGATCCAGCCAGTCTAGGGACGAACCAGAACCGTCAGTCTGCAGCGACATGGACAGTTCAGGCTCCACGTCCTTGGAGTACTTGTTGTCATCGGCATTCTGAACCAATTCGAACCTCGGCAAAAAAAAACCAAGCGTCAGTCGCCAGTGCATACGGACATTGGTACAAAACAAAACGTGCGAAATGCAGGAGGGCTGATAATCAGTAACGCCATTGACCACTACACGGTTCGCCAGCTTTGAAATGGGGGTTGGAACTTGCTGGAAAGAAACACGAAGTGGCCCTCGAGTTCGTACAAGTCTTGCGCGAGACGGTCCACAGCTGCACTCAAAGCCACCTTCCAACATGGCACGCCTAGCTTGTTAGGAGTATCTGAAACAGTTCTCCACGTTCTCTGCCACTGGCACATGGCCTGAGTCTTCTGCGCCGAAGCCTGCAGTGCGCCCAGAGATGAGTCGGCAGCCTGTTTGCACAGAAGGAGCACGAGAGCACGAAAGGTGTGCAAGAACCATGTCACCATGTCCATTGTGCAGGCTTCGACGCTGCATTTCTGCGGGTTCTGCCAGCACTCCTTTTGTTGACTAGCTGGCAGTACTCTGCTGTACGGTCAAACGCCGCTCCACGTCTCAGACTGGGCACGACGACACAACGCACAGTATAGCTTACAAGCACCCAGGATCACCCACGCTGTCGGCCAAGTTAGTCGTTCCAGCCTCGAGACCAGAGAAAGACCCTGCCAACATAACACAATTTTGTACAGTAGCGCCTGCCATCCCTTCCGTTCGGAGCTTCCGAGCATGACTTCAACAGGAATACATAACCCACAACTGGTAACAGGAGCCTCTTGAAATTGAAGCATGGTCGTGAGACTTTAAAGCGCAGAAGCTGGTAGCGTGGACCCACCGAGATCATCGGAAGCACTGCACGGGTGCCGCTGTAGATTGTCTGGTATATTGTCTGGCTGTGCACGGGCTCGGCAGAACCTGCAGGTCCATGCCTCCCATTCGTGTTTGCGTTCTTCTCCCAGAAAAATGCTCCTCAACCAAAGCATTGACCTCGACCAACTGGTCTCGTCCAACTCCCCCAAAGATGTGAAAGAGGGCTCCTGCACAATACCGTTTTTCAATGTGAGATGGCCACAGGCCGTGCGCACCTCTTCGCTTGAAACTGGGAACGGAATCCGGATAGCAACCAACCTTGGTTTTTGCACTTCAACTGGAGCACGCCCTCCGTCAGTCTCCTTAAAACTGGCATCGGGATTTGTCGCACCCCAGTTTGTGGGGAACGCACCCATGAGAAATCGCATGAGCTGGCCTGTAGACGGGTGGAACAATTCAAAGCCCGGTGAGATGACCTGCTTAGGGGACTCTCGCAAACTCAGGACGGCCGACAAGCAGGTCCTGCTTATCGTTGGTCCTGACTTTGCAAGAGTCCACAAACCACTTGGTGAGGTAAGACCCCGGTCTCCCCGTAGGATGGACGTGGATGCCCTGTGGCTCCTCCTGGCCTACGCTCTCACACTTAACCGTCACATGAGGTTCATGATTTTTCAGATGGCACAGCTGAAAGAATTCTCATCATATCATCAACAATTAACAAGATCTCTAGAAAACACACAGCCCAGCATTAATTATATCTGGATGCAACAGGTTTAAGGCATCCCGAGACTCCAACTCGAGACACTCAAGTCCGAGGTGGAAATCCAACTTAACCCAAGCTCTAATTAACCGCCAACATCAAAGCCCTTTCCCTTCCTCCTGCAGTTCAGTCTCGGCATGGCGCAGGCGCCTTCTCACCGGCATGGGGACACAGAGACTGTCTGCTCCTCCTCAATCTCGAGATTCGCATACACCACCCTTGTTTTCCACGTCGGGGGGCAGGTCAACTGGCATGATGAGCTGGTGCGGGCACAGGTTCCCGCAGGCAAGGCTGAATCCACATTGACATCGCCTCTTGAGATGCCGCATGCGCACCTCAATCAATTCATGGGCTCCACCTGTGAGCTGACACAAGTCATGCCTCGCACATGCTGGAGAGCCCTCTCCAGGTTGGGTTCTGTCTTCAACATGGCTATCAGAGATTGTTCGTCTCAATAGGCGTCATGTTGTGGCATTTTGCAAATCATGGTGCTTCTTCCCAAGTTGAGCATACTGGGCAATGCGTCGCATCGAAAGCCGGCATCATTCAAAGCTGTAGAAAGCAGACAAAGCAGACAACGCTTCGTCTTCGAGCCGGGCCTCTGCCAAGCGCCGCTGCCGGAGCCGCTCCAGGAAGGCTTGGGCTCTGGCGCGCCCCTCAGAGCTCAAACAACTTCCGGCATCCAGCAACATACTACAAGTGAAGCAACTCCGGAATTCCTTCTTGAAGATGGGTGGCACGCAACATGTTCACCGAAGTACGAAGGGAAACGAACGATTGTCTGCTAAATGCTGCCGCAGGCGCCGGCTGTGAGAAGGCCTGTTCATCCTCAGGTGTCACAACGAAGTGAAACCGGTTTCAACTCGAAACACCAACAAAAATTCTCGGGAGCCCTGCCTGGAACCCGGATGCTTCAGCTGGGGCCTCCAGCACAGCAAAATCTGCCAAGATCCCACACAGTATATAAGAGCAAACCATCATACCAGGCCATCAAGAAAGTTTCATCGGATGCAACACTGCCTTACAGTCGCCGGGCCTAATTTGAGTTTCAAGCTGCCGCTATCACAACGGAACTGCTGTTCTTCTCACTGGCTCTCATACAAACGATATCACACTTCGCGGCGGGTAAAGGTTGTCAACCGTCACAGGGGCCGGATGGGCGCGGGCCACGATCTGGCAAGGTCATCCAGTGTCATGGCATCTAACCATGGAACCCCCCACAACAGTTGGGAAACTATGTATATTCGAGAACAGTTTTGAGTAACTCATAGCATGAAAAAAACCGACCGGTTACCAAAGTTTGCTCGAGAACGAAGAATATGATGTGACAATCAATGCCGCAGGCCTCCTTTGGTCGGCAACTCGGCTTCGAGCAAGCCACAGGAGGCGGAAAGGCCTTCGAGCAGCTTCATATCACCGAGAAGCACAGAATGCCTTGGAAGGGAATGCGCTCAGTCCGGCGAATGCAAGACGAGCTGCTGTCGTTCGTCCCAGTTCGAACTCAAGCAGAGTAAGCCTCTTCTCGTATCCGGACTTTCCTCAGCACAGCCGGGACGCAAGCGGGATACCCGTACTAGGACCCGGCCTTCTGCACCCGGTGCTGACAAGCGGCGCTTCGTCCACTCGCTGCCAGCATCCTCGAGGAGCTGGCCAAAGTGGGCCATAAGAGCTGCATGAGCCAGGCCTGACAGCTGGGCCCCTGGTACAGGGGCTCACCAGAACCGAACTTAACAAGCAGGATGATCGGATGTGAAGAATACAAATGCCAGAGGACCGGTATAACCACTAGCTCGCGACCTTCGGAACTCGCGCGGCGTGACCACGAACGGGAAGCGGCAGCGGCGCGTAGAAGCCGCAGCTGCACAAGTGGGACTAGCGCAGTCACCGCAGCTGCCCGGGCCTGCTGCAACTGTTGGGTCAGGGCTGGTCTTTCACTCAGTCGGTTCGGCCTGTAAGAGGTTCAGACGGCACTCCACGAAGGCACAACCATACCTGGGGCTCGTGGTGCGAAACGAAAAGCTCTCTACCGTATACAATCGCCTGCAAGAATGCACTTGCAACCGGGCGTCGATTGCAGCACCATGGATTGCAAGGATTTTCCGGCTACGGTGGCTTGCTCGGTTGCGGCATCCTCGGCAGCCTCGGCAGCCTCAGCATCCTGCAACTGCCCTTCCACACCATCCTTGCCATCCGCAACAGCAACAACCTGCCAGGAGTCGCATTGGAAGCTCATCGCCGAGCTAACCCAGTTCAAGGCCGTCGGCGACACAACTCCTCGAGCCTGGTCAATGTCACTTGCATCCGAAGCCCTTCACTCACACCCCGAACAAGTCGGTTGCCGGAAAAAGGAAATGAGACAGGAAACAACACTTTGTTCTAGTTGTCTAACCATGGATCCAGCGGAGTGATCACCTCCAGCTGTTCGAATGAGTTTACGAAGCTCCCCGCCAACGATTGAAAAACTTCCCACTGGGCAGCACCTGCGCACGCGCAGCTGCTGGGCTGCAGTGGTGGCAGGAGATAGTTCAGGGCTGTAAGTCCGTGCTGATCTTCTGCGGCCTCCCACCCACGCGTTCGGCGGGAGAGATAGCGGGCACGTGCACCTTGTAAAGAATTTCGGAAGGGCGAAGCATCACCACCTCCGCCTGTAAATACACGAAGATACGTCCCGGCACACAGGCTGTGCATGGAGCTTCGGCCCCAGCCGTCTGGCTGATGCCACTCTGCCCCGGCCCATTCCAGCAAGGCCAGATGGTGCAGTTGAAGGGGGCGCTCTAAGAATTGGCTCTTCCGAATAGCATCGACGGCAAGTCCATGTACTTCCCTGCGGGCACGGCTTGCGGCCATAGGGCACGCCAAGCTCGCGAGTAAGCCGGGTACCGACATAATCCTGTTTCCGCAACGGCCGTCTAGGCGGAAGCGTGTCACCTTGTGACTGTCCCCTTCACCTCCTTCAGCTTGCGTGCACAACCTGCACAACAGCCTGGAGAACCTGGGCATGTCCAAGGCCTCGTGGGGCCTCAGAGGGCGCAAGTGCGGGGGCAGGCGCCGCTCGATGGTAACTTCATCCAGCGAGGGGATCGTCCAGGCTGGTGGACAGAACTGAAATGCCTTATAGAGAACATGCGACGGACATGACCTCTCGAAAGCAGACCTGTCTAGCCAAGAAGCTGCCAAAAGAAGCGTGCCCCACCATCCATGGTCCTGCCAAATGGATGTGAGAGGTCGCTGGGGGCAGAAACAGCTATGTTCGCCGGTCTTTGTCCGACGGGTTACCACGTTGGCAACTCAGATGCACGATGCACGTCGTCTCGACCGTGTCGCTACACTGCTGTGACAAGGCAGCCTGTCCTTCTTTTCCTCAGCGCCCCGACTAGCTAGGTCAGCCAGCAACGCAGCATGTTTAGATGCGACAACAGTGCAAGGTCCTTCTGTTCCTTTGCCTCCACCTGGCTGCTGGAAGTACAGAAGACAGAGACCAGGTACTCCTCCGCAAAAGCTACAGCGTCGGACTAGAATCGGGAAACATGCATGAAAGTCCTGCATGCTTCGAGCTAGCCCGTTTGTGAACAGGTCGCCTTGACCTCTAGCTGGTAACACTTCTAACCGGAGCAAGCCATCTTTGCGCCTCGTCCTGTGCATCTGGCCGTAAGAATTCCGGAGGCAGCGGAGCGGACTTCCGGCGCTGGCTCACCTCCCCGGTCATGATGGCCTCCCCTTACACTTCCTTCCTTTCCCCGCGACTCGGCCCCGAGGGCCACTGCATTTTCTTCCGCCACCAAAAAAACTTTAATTCCCTGCACAGATGCCAACACACGAAGTGACCCCATCGCGTTGCGAGGGCGCGTGACCTTGACCTTTGCTCCCCTTATGACCAGGACTCGATGAGATTCGAGGAGTATCGGCACGGTCGAGTAGACCGTCGCGGCTTAACTCTTCACAAGTTAAAGAAGACCCTTGAAAGGGAGTGGTTTGGACTCAGGAACAAACAGATCTCCAGTGCGCCCCTTGTGCTTAGGCTTGCTTCAATTGCAGTTGCAAAGCCAGAAAGCAGAAGGAATCAGCTTCGCGAAAAGAAACGACTGCAGCAGGCGCCTCAGTTCTGCACCACAGCGGGTTGATCATCCATCTGATTTTTGACTGCTGGGGTAACAGTAGCTTCGAAGCTGCTGGGGTCACTGCATTGCTACTCGGGGCTTGGGTGAACCTGCCGGGATCCTTTGAATGGCTACCCAGGCTACCGGCCGAGCTGGTTTAGCCTCATCAAGCCAAGAGGGCTGGTAAGCCGCAGCAGGGCCCGGGCGGATTGCAGCACTGAGCTAGCACGCAGGCCCTGACAGCGAAGCTGTGTCTGTGCCACCCACGTACGCACAGCCAATGTATCAGGAACCCGGGTACGGTAGTGGCGGACACTAGTCACTAGCCCCCACGGCTCGCTAGCAAACAGGTTCAGGAACCCGAAGCTTGCGCTGCACGTCCGACGTCAGAGATCTTGCCCTGGCCAGGTTGGCCTGACAGCCATATGCTATAGAGGTGTCCAAGACTCAGAAGATCTCAGAAGTTCCGCGCGGCACTGGTATCTATAAACCTCTTGCCAACCGCACAGGAAGCATTTGGATCAGGTACAGGCTGCCAGTACATGCCAGTACACTACTCCAAGAGGTCACGGCGCGTCTGCCAGCATGAGTTGGGTTCTGGTGGCACGCTTATGGTAGTTCTACAAGCAAGCTCCACATGGGCTCTCCTGCTGCTGCACCGCACCTGGTACTTGGCCATCCAAGCTTCTCGATTTTCTGGCCTCAGTTGCTGGACATTCTCTCTCAAAGTTCAGCTTCGGCTTCTACCGTCCTTCTGCGAGGTCGGCTCGCCTACTTAATCTGTGCTACCGGCTAGAACCAGGCAACTTCCCCTGCCGCGGGTTGGCTAGCCGGATGTCTTTGCGCAAAGGCTCTCTGCTGCCGAATCAGATTCGTGGGGCAACTCGGAGGAAGTCGCCGCGAGCGACCTGGCCACAGAATTGGTTCCAATGCTCCAGCTTCTCCTGGCGTGAGAGCCATTGTAGTTGAGGCCCAAGCTTCCACTTGAAATTCTCCCAGACGCGATGTGTTGGCTCCGTCCAGGCGACTTCAGCAACAGCAAGGAGTCTCGGGAAGAGCATCTCCTCTGCTCTTGCCTCGGAGTCCACGGTCTCCGTCCAGAGATTCGCCTGCAGCCCACGGATCCGCCCCAAAGCAGACTCCTCGAGCCCCATGCGCCGCAAACGCTCTATGGGCTCGTAGTCATAGACACGCTGCAAAGGAAGCGCCGGGGCGGCCCAGTAGAGCCCCCGCTCCTCGTAGCTCAAGCTCTGAACAATGTCGAGATAAAGGAAATGCGCCGGGCAAAGAACGACGTCGAGCCCAGCGTTTGCTGCCCGAACCGCAAAGCGTTCGTCCTCTTTCCAAGCAAAGGCTGCCGGCCGCTGCTCAGTGTCGGGATCGATCGCCGTCCCTGGAGTGAAGGCCTCCTCCCATGCCATCATGGAGCGACCATGCTTGGCTAGAAAGGTCTGCAGCCAGAGGGTGAGACCAGCTTTGATTTCCTCCTCCTCGTGTACATTCTCGCTCCAAGCACCCCGAGGGATCTCGTCCATTCCCACATGAACTGGTCCAGGGAAGAGCTCCACGACTTCCGTCAAAACAGCTTCCAGGAACTTGTAGGTTTCAGCTGCGACCGGGTTTAGAACGTTGCCCCGGAAGCCTTGGACACTCACGGGCTTGGGCTTGTTCTGCCTTTCTACACTGCGCCCCAAAAGCTCTGGAAGGGCCTTGATGGCAGCATAGCAGTGTCCCGGGACATCGATCTCTGGGATAATCGTGATTCCTCGCTCCTTTGCGTACTGCACAACATCTCGAATCTGTGACTGGCTGTAGAAACCCCCATAGCGGTGCGGTCCGCCCGCGTACTGCGGCTCAATTACCTCCCCACGTCCGCGCCAGGAGCCGTAAAGCGTCAGGTTCGGAAGCGATTGCACCTCAAAGCGCCAGCCTTCATCATCCGTCAAATGCCAATGGAAAGTGTTCAGCTTGTACAAAAACATCCAGTCAAGAAGCCGAAGGATGAAATCCACACTAAAAAAATGCCGCCCCACGTCCAGCATTAGGCCTCGGTGTGAAAAGCGCGGCTTGTCTCGGATAAGCTGTGCTGGCACCGAGATAAGTCCATCGGCCAACGCAACACCTAGGAGTTGTCTGAGGGTGGCGACACCATGAAGAAGTCCACAGGGAGTTGGGGCTGCGATGGTGATGGCATTGTTTTGAATCCGAACCTCGTAGCCCTCAGATTCGAGATCCGCATCTTCAATGAGTGTCAGCGACAGATTCCGAGTCTCCCGTGCAGCGACTCCATCTGGAACCCCGAACGGCGCACCTGGCGGCCAGTTGAGCAGCCATCTGTGAAGGAGCGCAGCTGCGCCGCGAGCTTCCTCATCAGACTGAATCTTGAGCGGGGGCTGCAACCCAGCCATTAAGTCAAATCCTGGTCCTGGCAACCTTGTGACCGATTGAGGCTGTGGGACACCCGAGAATGTGGGAGGGCTGGTAGCATCCGAGGACAAGCGAACTTGTGCTTCTCCAGGTGTGATCAACTCGACTTCGAACACTGCCTCTGCCTCGAAAGACTCCTCCCGCATCACGATGTGCAAGGCTCTCGGCAAGTCAGAAACGTATCGCATCGCGGGGGCCCCGATCTCGATCACGAAAGCATGAACGCCCCCTGGTTCCAGTGGCTCATGTCTCGGAAGACAGACATAGCTGCCACTGACCAATGCATCTTGCGGCTGTCGCAGCACAACAGCCTTCAGCCAGGTAAAGCATAATTGCCAATTTGCCACAGCCGGAGCTGACCATCCGCTTGAAACAGAAAGAATTATTGCCGAGCCTTTCGAATCCTCATCGGCGATGACTTGCAATGTTGCACGGAAGTTCGTCGTGCGGTCTGCTTGGTCGCCGAATCCGATGACGAAGATCGAAATGAATCTAAAGAGTATCCAGCTCAACATTGTCAAATAAATGGGGCTGCGAGACCGAGCATCCGAAGCAGTCGTGCAGGCAAAACCTGCCCCGTTCCCTACAACCGAATAACTGATGTGACTCAAGCCAACTCCAGCTATGTCTCTGTGTCGAGTTGCCCTTACTTTGGCTCGGTGTCTGAAGTCTTGGAGAATGGGAAGATTCAGCGGTTCAGCGGATGGGCCCCGGTAAGGCGGTGTGCTCATCTGTTTCCACCAGCTGTGCTTATTCTACCGAGCACTCTCACGGACTTCACGAAGTGTTTGCGTATTGCTCGCTTTGTTGCGCTTGACGAGACGGCTTCGTCCTTCAATTACCGGTGTTGGTGACTACGATGCCCTGTCTTCGTCGGCACCTGCCGCCACCTTTACATTCCGGTCGGTCAAGTCCCAAGCATCGGGGTTTGGGTTGTTGATGGTTGCTGTGCTTGCCCGATTTTGAGCATGGTCGCAATGGCACGCGAAAAGCTTTTCTGTCTCTGATGCCCCACTGGCACACTCTCGAGTCCAAACCTCGGTGAGATTCACGTCGTCCGGCACCAA